TTTTAAGAATTTTATATCCCATTTCTATCGCCAATTTTAGCTCTTCAGAGTACCGCGTACTGCTGAGAGCTCTCTCTTTGTTGCTATGAGTACATTTATTCGGGTCCATATCCTTTGCACATTGATTACATAATGCAAACACTAACTTTTTTGCCTCTGATTTTAATGGTAGTACAGGAATGTATAAATCTTTTGGTGGTAATATTTTACATTTTATGAATCCAAAGTAATTATCAATTGATGTGTCGTTGAATTTCGTAATTATTGATGGGTGACCAATAGGGTACTCACATTTTGAAAGTACAGTCGGATACAGACTGCATACATCTTTATATTTGATTACCTCATTACCAGTGCAATCAGCATTGAAGTACAAATTGTTAGTACGGCCACCATAAAACGACTCACGGATGTTTGCGTGACCTATTTTATCAATTGATTTATAGTATGCCATACGTTTGGTATGATATGATTTGAAGTCTGCATCAGTTGTCAACAGTTTATCAAAGTCGTGCTCCCAAATAGATGTCACTTTAAAACCTCTAGACTTGTAATATGTTTCCTAAAGTATATATATAAATGTAATAAAAATTGTATATAAACAATAATTTATTTAAATACCTTTTCTATTGTCCTTTGATAATCTTTGATTGGATCTACTTGTTCATTACCATCATAGTTATCTCTATGACTGAACAGATGAGTACATTTTTGACATCCATGCCAATAGCAGCCATTGAACTCAAATATCTCTCCGAGTATGCCATCTCGAATACACCCATCAGCATAGTTCTGTCCAACTCTCATTTCTCTGCAGATCTTAACACCTCTCTTCTCCTCCATCCAATCAAGCCAAACATTGCCTTTGTTTGACTTGTGTCGACCGTCAATATATCCATTGATGGGTGTTACACCAATCATGTCATCCTTTAGTATTTTAGCTCTAAAATATTCTAGTCCTACACCAGCTAATGTGAATCTACGAGTGATTGGGTATAAACCGGTGAAGCCTTTGAATAATTTGCGGAACTCCATCACAGCAATTGTGAGTACCATTACATCGTTTAAACAATACTTTTTGATTTGTTGCTCAAAATTCCATAAGTAATTGTTTGCTTTGAAGTCATTGTACCACTCCACACACTCTTTTGATGACCTCATTTCATCAATACCAAAGTGTTTGATATCTGGTATCTCACCGGAGTAGTCGTAGTTCTCTTTTCTGTTAAAGTGATGTGGGAAAAATCCTTTGCTGACAATGTGTTGAAAGCCAAACGATTTTGGAAGTGAGGCCAGTGGTTGTTGAAAATAACTCAGTGAGTCAATGAATGACGTATTGTTGTTTGTGATTTTGAGTATTTTCATTCCACTCATAATAATATCACTCGGATCACCAAATTGTCTCTCAAACATTTCCTGGAATATGAAGTGACCATCATATCCCTTGAAATTGTGCGCGATGACGTATAGCTGTGCTTTAATTTTAGAGGCTCTGACAGCGGCATCTTTGAACAAGTAGTCTGAAAACTGTTCGACTACATTGTCTTTATAAAATGTTCGGATACCATATCCGCACACTTTACACCCATCATTTGGTTCATCGATAGAGACATCGCATCTTTTCGCCATTTGTTGGTAATCCCAACACTTGTCGCAAACACATACTATGTAATAAAAAAGTAATTAATATATATTATTTAATTTTTAAATAATAAGAAAATGTTATAACTTACATGAAATAAGAAGATTAGGTTTGTGATCATAAAAGCCATTATTTTGTGCTATTTGTTCACTTTCAATATCAAAACAAACTATAATTTTGTTTATTTTATCCTCTTTTTCCAGTTTTTCCATATCTAAAGGTTTTATATAACAAAAATGTGGTGTTTCTTTATAATACACACTACATTTTGTACATTTAAGATGATAGCAAACATGTTTTGCTCTCCTATCAGTCGAGTATTCAACATTACATGTATTACATGTTTTTGACTTAACTTTGCAAATGTTGTTATCTTTGTGATTTTGATAACATTTATCATTTGCATAACTACGATTGCATAAATCGCAATCTACTTTTTCACTGTTGTCATCGTTACATTTGGGATAGGATGAGCAGTAGTTACACACATATCTACATGTGTGATTGATTTTATGATGTTTTGTTAGACAATACTTACACAAATCTGATATTTGTGTGTAAGCATTCACGTCCTTAATAAAATTATAATGCCCAGTGTTTTTACCGTAGTCGATGTGTTCAATGAAAAGTTTGTTAGGGAAATCGGTAGAGCCTTGAAATAAATAATTATCTACATTTGATGAGTCGATAATTATTAATTGTAATCCTTGAGAGCCATTAGTCAATTCAATAGTGTTGAGATACTGTTGCATTTGATTCCAATCTTTTTCTCCAAAAGGTTTGTTAAAGTTAAGACCAGCTGACTGACACAACTTTTCAGACTCGTCTTTTTGATATTTATCAGAAAAACAATTTGCTGTTATTTTACGCCATTCGTTGTTATTTGATAAAATCTGATCTTTAAAATTTTCAACAAACCACTTAACTCCTATCCAGACAGCTCTATACCCACACCCTACATCTGAAATTACATTAATAAATTTGTTAGTTTTAGTAAAAAAATTAATTTTTAATTTTTAAAATACCATTTTTGTTGTTAACTCTTACAACACATCTCATACGTTTACTACGGTCGTCAGATGTTTCCGGTGGTAATTGTCTTTTATTTCTCGTTTTATTTGCCGATCCTTCAAGTGATTCAGTAACATAGACTTTCATTTTAAATACAGAGAGCAAAAACTCTGTATTTGATTGAATCAAACCAAATATTTTGTTGGCAAACTCATGTTTATCAAATTGCGAGATTGTTTTACCACCCATATATAATGGTTTATTCAATCCTTGTGCTTCGATTATCACACTGTAATAGTCACCCACTTTACGGTTACGAAATACCGGTCGCACCTGTTGTGAAATTAATGAAAGTTATTAATAAATTTTAAGTTTTTAGAAAAGTTTTTTTTGAAGTTTTTTTTTTAAAAAGTTTTTTTGATAAAAAAAAATATTTGTGCTTACTTTTTTATTTTTTATATATAATCACAAATTATAAAATCAAGACTCAGTTATACACTGATATCTTCTACTGGCGAGTTAATTTGATGTATGTTTCAATACAAAGCTAGCCTCAATCCAATGTATTCCGTACTACAGTCTATAAGGACATTAATTTATTAATTTTACCGATTAATAGTTAATTTTTCATAATTATTTTTTTATTAACTTAAACTACACATTTTTAAGCATCTTTTAAGAATAAAAAAAATTTACTTTTAATTACAATTAAAAAGTTATTAACAATTTAAGTTAATTAATATATACAGTATATGTAATACTATTGCAATACAGTGTGTACATACTATTTCAATACAGTGATGTCATTATATTACATGTATTGTATGCAATAATTAATGTTAGTTCGGGTATTTGTTCAGTTCGGGTAGTTGGCCAGTTCGGGTAGTTGGTTAGTTCGGGTAGAGGTAGTGGTGACGTCATTGGTGTACTACACTTAGGTTAGGTTAGGTTGGGTCACGTGACCTCTGCTATCCCCTCTCTGCTATGCATATATATGGGGGGAAGCACAGTGCTTTCCCCCACTGCTATACTCCTGTACCAACTACTTATATAGTTTAAATTGATTCAAAAGTTTATTTATTTTTAAAAAAATAACTATTAATATAATCAATAATTAATAAATATCACATCATACATTTAATTGAAATATAATTTTAATAAAAATTTTATTTTAAATTATTATATTGTATTAAAAATTCAATTACTATATATTAAATGTAAAAAAAAAATTGCTATTATTATTATTCATACTTATGAAATAAAATTTGTAAACTTATTAAAATAAATGTGAATATTTTTTTTAAATTGTTAAAATAGTTAATTAATAAATATAATCATTATTTAATAGATGGCAGTTTATACACTATAAGTAATATTTTTTATTTTTTTAAAAACTTTTATATTTAAAAAAACAAATTGCATTTAAAATTTAGTTAATCCATAAAATTTTGTAATAATTTTTTTTGCTAATATTATTTATACTACTAAAATATAATTTGTAAACTTATTAAAATAAATGAGATTATTTTATTTAAACTAAATATTTAAATAAAAATTATCTAATAGTAAAAAAATTAGCTAAAATTACTATTTAATAGATGTCAGAATAAACACTAAATAATAATATTTCAATAAAAAAATTTATGATTTAATATTAAATAAACAATTAAATTAGAAATTTAGTTAATATATTATAAAATTTGTTAAAATTTGTTGAAATAAATAAGATTATTTTATTTAAGCAAAATAATTTTACTTTATTTAATAGCTAAATAATTAGTTTAGTTTACAAATTATATATTAAATAATTTTTTTTAAAAACAAATATTTGTCTATTTTTTTAATATAGTGCTGACACTTATCCTTAGATATTTTAATTTATTTATTTTTTATACAATCAAATAATAAAATTAAAAAAAATGATTTAACATAAACTACAGTAAGAAATAGTAATCAAATGAAATAAAAATAATTTTCAATTATTATTTTATTTAATATTATAGTATTTTAGTAAATAATATTTTAAATTTTAATTTTACAATTTAATTTAATATAATAAAAAAATATGATTTTTATTACAGAATTAATTATATTTTCAACAATTTTGTTGTTATTTGCTTATTACAAGTTTGTATTTTTTTATTGTTGTTAATATATTATTATTTTTTACTAAATATTAACTATTAAAAAATATATATATTATTATAATACTAACTATTAATATAATTGTGTTAATAATTTTTTTTAAATATAAAAAAGGTATTATCAATCAAAACATTATGATTATTGGCAAAAACGTGGTATAAGTGGTCCCCGTCCCATACCTGGTGTCGGTAATAACTATGAAATGTTATGGCAATCCCGGGCACAGCTCGATGTCAAATGGATGCATAAGTTTGGGCCGATCTATGGGTTTGTTGTGTTTTGTTTTTTGAAAAAGAAAAATAACTGTCCACTAACTTATATATATCCACTAATATATATATATATTTAACAACTATTCAGATACTATTCATTTAATAAGCCTATACTGACTGTCGGCGATCCGGAACTAATCAAACAGATATGGATTAAAGATTTTCAAGTATTTCCCAACAGATTTATGCCGTCCGCCGACAACAACAATACAAACAGTCTATTCGGTCTTAACATCGACGAAACAACTGGCCAGCACTGGCATCGTATCAGACAGGCTATTAATCCGACGTTTACATCGGCCAAACTTAGATCATCGCTAATACCGAAAATCGACCGATGCTTAAGCCAACTGTTCAATGCTATGCAACCGATGGTCGATAGGAGTAAACCCATTGAAATGAAACGTCTGATGCAACCATATGTTATCAACATATTTGCCGCTTCTATATTCTCCCTGTCCATCGATGCCCATCAACAACCTGATCATCCCTACGCCAGCCATACACTGGTCCGATCGTTGGCCGTCCGATTGTTGCCGACATTTTTGTTGCGATCGTTGCGCATGAAAAACGAGTCGATGTACGAGGATATGGCCAATGAATACTTTCTGGGACTGACCAGACATTTGATGGCTGAGCGCAACAACAACAACAACAACAGTACTGATGGCCACAACAATAGACAGTACAACGATTGGCTGGAAGAGCTAATGAATGCTAAAGTTAGCGATAAAAACAACAAAACTGATGGTCAGTTTGGATGTTATTATTTTTTAATATAAATTAATAAATAATTTTATTTTTATTTTTTAGACTCAACTGATGCCAAACTGACTACCGATGAAATACTGGCCAACATATGGATACTGACTAGTATTGGCTTTGATTCGACAGTAACCACTCATACGTACGCCAGCTATGAGTTGGCCGCCGATCATGAGCTACAGTCAAGATTGTACAATGAAATTGCCGATTGTTCAGCAAACGGACAGTTGTTAGACTACGATCGGGTACTCAATCTACCGCTGCTGTCGGCAGTTATTAGCGAAACATTACGCAAACATTCGCACGCCGTCCGCGAAACACGTATAGCCGATCGCGACTATCAGCTGTCGGGTACCGGTATTACCGTAAAACAAGGCGAAACTGTTGAACTGCCTATTTATGCTATACATCACTGCCCTGACTACTATCCCGAACCTCATCTGTTCCGAGCCGACCGTTTTCTGCCCGCCAATCGTCACAAACTGATACCCTATACATACCTGCCGTTCGGGTTGGGTCCCCGACACTGTCTGGGCAAACAATTTGAGCTGATGCTGGTCAAGCTGACCCTGGCCAATTTGATATACCGTTACAGGTTGACTACATGTGCCCAAACTGATCCCCGACAGCAGCACAACTGTATTATCTATGGACCGGATAAAATGTTTTTGAAATTTCAGCCTAGATTTCAATCTTAAATAAAAATGTTTTAAAATATGTTAAAATTTAGTAGATTTTAATTTATTTGATTCCTTTAAGTTTTCAATAATGTTGTAATAATTAATATTTGCTGTTTTTTTAAATTTTGTTTTTGTTTAATAAATTGTAAAATATTTAAGTGTTTTAATTTATCAAAATGATTAAGTTTACCTTATTTTTTTAAGTACAAGTTTTATTATGAAAATTTTTAAATTGTTATGTAAATGATTTATTTTATTTTTTTTAGTAATTTAAAATATCTGAATTGTGTTTTTATATGTATTTATTAAATAAAATTTTTAAAAAATATTTGTTTGTATTTTATTTAATAAATTATATTAATTAATAAATTTAAAAAAAATAATTTTTAAAAATTTATTTAATACATGTTATTTTTCTTAATTATAATTAATTATTTCTTAATTTTATTTTATTAGTTTTTTTACAAATAAAAAAATATATCACTAATAATAATGTTTATAAACTAAATATAAAACTTATTGTTAAAATCTATAACTAATGTCTTCAAAAAAAACATTTTTGAATTAATTTATTAAAATATTTTTAAAGATTAATTTATATAAACAATATATATATTTGTATATAACCAGATTTAAATGAAAACTTTTATGAACAAATTGATAAAAAATAATTGTTTAATTTAACTTTTAAATCAGTAAAAAATATTTATTTAGTTTTGATTTTTTTTTAAAAACAGGTCAAAACATAATTATGCATTTAAAAAAAATTATCATCTTGTTATTTCAAAATATTAATATTAAATATTAATATTTTTATTATAAACAAAATAATAAATCAGAAAAATAAAAGTGTGTTAAATTAACAATTGTCACTAAATTTTGTAAATATATTTTATTGAAAAAAATCATTTACGTATACATTAACATTGTTATAAAAAATAGCCAAATCATTATAAATATTACTTTAAAATATAATATTTTATTACTAAAACTACTTTTTAAAAAAATATTATTAATTTATTAAATTTCTAGATTTATACAAATAATATTTACTTTAGAAAATACTTTATAGTAATATTTTTTTTAAACATATAGAAATTATTTTTTTAAAAATGCTATCAAAAGTTTTCCTATATGTTGTATTAATTAATACAATATTTATTGTATACACCGATTGTATAGAAACAGCGATTCAAGGTTTGTATATTAATAATAATAATAATAATTGAAAATTAATTAATTAAAAATTTTTATTTGTTAAACAAATTTTTTTTAACCAGGACATTGTACCAAATTTGAAGATTTAGGTAAAATAATTTTATGATATTAAAATTAATAGTTATTTATAATTAAATATTTTTTAATAAATAAATTGTATTATTTTTTTAAAAAATTATTTTTATTATAATGTTATAGCTATAACACCCATACAGTACATTGACTGTACATTTTTGAATCTGTTTGAGTGTAACAGTCAGCCGGACAGTAGTCTAGACATTGTCGAGATACTGATGCCCGAGCTATTGAACACAACGATGACCTGTAACGGTATGGTTACCGATAACTATCAGGACATACCGTTTGATGTGATGCTCAGAAATGGTGACATTCATACAGTTACCTATAGCCAGTATAATCTAATTATTACAGTAATTGATGGTAAGTTTTTTATAAAAAATAAAAAATAAAATAATAATCCATATAAACTATATGGTTAATTTACTGATATTTTTAAACTATCACATTATTATTAACAACAATCAAAATAAATAGGTGATACCTATTATCGTGAAGTTGGCCTAATAACTGATGGTCCCTGTGCCGGATCCAAAATACAGGGTTGGTCTATATATTTGCCACCCGAAGGCCAGTGTATTACCAAACCGATGACCAGTTCGAAGCCATTGTTCGAGCACTGGAAGATTACCGGCAACTGTAAGGCCACTTGTAATGGACACTCATTTTTTTCCTATAAACCAGGAATTGTACCCTAATTTTGTTGTTGTTATTGAAAATAATCTAAAGTAACATTTTTTTAAGACAAATTAAATTAAAATAAGTTGCATAAAATTTTATTACTTTTTTTTAATTAATTTGTTATTTGAATATCTTTTTGAATAAAATAAAAATTAATAATATTTACTTGAATTTTATAATTAAATTCTCATAATAAATTTATTTTACTATATTATTAGTAGAAGTATTATTATTTTATTTTTGTATTTTACTAAATAAAATATTTTTATATATATTAATGTTAATATTATACTTTATTTTTGTTTATTTAAATATTTCTATAAAAATTTGTTTTTTTAAACATAGAATATAATGTTTAATAAGTAAATGAAATTTTTTTGTTTATTTAATCTTAAAAAATACTATTATTATTACTTAATATTTAATAATAATATTTTCTATACAATGATTAGTATAGTAGTAGTAGTAGTAGTAGTAGTAGTAGTAGTAGTAGTAGTAGTAGTAGTAGTAGTAGTAGTAGTAGTAGTAGTAGTAGTAGTAGTAGTAGTAGTAGTAGTAACAAAAAAAAATGTGCATATTTTTTTGTAATTAATAATTCAAATACTGTATATTATTATAAATTTAACTACTATTAATTGCTAAATAACTACTTGTATACTATTTTTTTTGTTTTGTTTGCTGATTACTACTAATCTATTAAATATTTTTAAATAAATTTAAATAATTTATTTACTTTATAAGAAAAATAATAATATTATTATTATATATTTTAATACTATATACAGTTAACAAAAATTTAACTAACAAACAAAAATGAATATTAATTATCAATAACCAATGACATATTTAATATATATAAATTAAAATTAGTATATTTTTAAGTAAATTAAAACAAAAACAAAATATTAATATTGAATTGTAAATAAATGTTTAATATAAAGTTTTTTTTGTATATATTGTTGTTAAATAGTTTTCATTTTTTAATTTCTCTGTATTTTTAGTTTATTTAAAAAAAATAAAAATTGAATTATTATTTTATTATCAATTTTCTATATACAGTACACTAGTATTACAATACAATTATATTTTTGTATTAGACTAGAAATGTATCAAATCATTGATAGCCGTTATTGACATACATTTTTAACATATATTTTTTTAAAAAATAAAGTATTTAACTATTAGTGATTTGACAATTAGTTAAAATACTGTATAGTATTATTGATATATACTGTATATACTATAGTAATACTTAACTACTCAACACTACTAATGTCTTATAGATATTTACAACAACAAAAATAAGTTTCAAAAGCGCTGTATAAACTAAACTTTAAATAAAATACATAATAAACAATAGTATAAAAAACAATAGTATAAAAAACAATAGTAAAAAATATTAGTTTTATTTAATAAATTTTATTTAAAATATAATATATATATATATATATATATTCAATAATAGTATCGCTTAATTATTAATTTTTAAACAACATTTATTTAAAAAAAATTAATAAATACATTTAATCAGTTTTTTAATTATTAATAGGACGATGCTTAATTTTATATTGAATTGATTGTTTTGAATCATCATTAACATCAATATTATCATCAAGGTAAATATGATAGCGATAAAACAAATTGGCCAGTATCAATTTGACAATAAGCCAGGCAAACGGTTGGCCAGCGCAGGCACGCGGTCCGGCACCAAACGGTAAAAATGTGTACGGTACTATTTTATCCCTACTATTATTTTGGCCCATAAATCTATCGGGATCAAAACGGTGCGGTTCCGGGAAATAATCGGGATTCAAATGAATCGGATACAGCGGAAACTCGATTCGTTGGCCGCGTCTAACTTGAATACCAGTGTCGGCCAACTGATAGTCTTCGGCAGCTAAACGACCGTCGCGTAAGTTATTAGTCATCAAACGCATCGATTCGTTGATAATGGCCTCCAAGTACTTGATTTTGTAGCACATGTCGTACGTAATGATATGCTGGTCATTGTCCGCCGCCGTCGCCGCGTGTTGTTTGGCCAACTCGTCGTACAGTCGCCGCTGTGATTGTTGGTCGCGTACCAGTTCATCAATGGCCTGACCGATGACATCGATAACAATATTGTAGCCGTCTATCAGTGCTCCGTATAGATTGCCGACCACTTCATCGCGTGTTAGATAACTATCTGTTTGTTGTCTATCCTCTGACTCTAAGATTTTTTTTTTTAAATAAAAATAATTAAAAAAATTTCAAAACATACAGTAATTGTGTCTTTGTTTTTGTTAACAAAAAAAAATAATTGACAAATACTTTTGGTTTCAGACATAAATGATAGTAAGTCTTGTAAAAAGTCGTTGTTTTGTTCAACACCTCCGGCGGCCAGTCGTCTGTCAATCAGATCGTTGATAACATTGACGTAACTGTTGGCCACAGAGTTTGGTACCAGAAATGATATGCCAAACAATCTTAACAAAAATTTCGGTAACAGTATCCGCAGTTTGGCCAACAATGGTGACCATTCAACCGCCGACATAACATAGCCAACCGATTTGTTTAGTGGCCGATCACTGGGAAAGCCGGTATCTTGCGATTGAAAACAATCGATCAGCAAATACATGATAAACGAGTCCATTGTTTTCTTGAGATCAGTACCGGTGCTACCGTTTTCAGTATTACACACCCGATTGTCTAATACATTCATCAGCACCTGTATGTCATCCGTTACTTTCGTAGACATTCGTTTCATTCTCGATACAGACATTAGCGATGTAAACATTTTTCTGGTCTGTTTCCAAGTATTATCGGTACTGAACGAAACATTTTGACACAACACCGGGTGCTCGGAAAAAGACATAACTGGATCCCGTCCGCGGTTATAGAAATAACGGGAATCGGTAACACAGATACGTTTGATGAGCTCCGGGTCGACGATTGTCAGCACCGGTACGTTATATTTATATACACTGTTTTTTTAATTATTATTAAATAAGTTAATTGTTTAAATGTTTAACTGTATAATTTAGCATAATAATTATTTATTAGTTAATAATATACACTATTATAATTTAATAGTTATTATATACTAAATACTATATATATATAAGGGTTACTAATGAGGGGGTGTAGTGGGGGTAAGACCTCTTACCCCCTTGAGATCGAAAAAGTTTGTATTTAGAGGGAATGTAGTGGGAATTTAGTGGGAATTTATTGGGAATTTATTGGGAATTTATTGGGAATTTATTGGGAATTTATTGGGAATTTATTGGGAATTTATTGGGAATTTATTGGGAATTTATTGGGAATTTATTGGGAATTTATTGGGAATTTATTGGGAATTTAATCAAATTTGGCAAAAATTGTCGTTTAAAAATGCAATATAAAATGTTCACCCCCTATGCCCATAAACTTTTTCGAGTTTTTATCCCCCCATACCCCCATGAAATCAAAAACTTTTGGCAACCCTGATATATATATATTGCAATACTATATACCAGTATATATATACATTGTTTTATTTATAATTAGTTTGTTTCAATTTACTAAAACTATTAAATAATGTATATTTTTAATGTAAAAAAATAATAATAATAATAAAATATTTACCCAAATGCTTTGCCATATTTTTTAAACCATTGATAATCAATTTGATTGACATTTTTAGATAACCGAAACAATATGTTTCCGTAACCGATGACCGGTTTGGGACCGTTTACACCCAGTTTAGACCAGTAATCAAAATTACGAGTAAAATAACTATATTCATATAAATAAAGGCAAAAAAAAATTATTAAAAATAATATTATTTATTTATATATAAAATATAATATAGTTGTAATTGCATCAATAATTACCAGTAAATAACTATAATAATAACTATTATAGTTAAAATTATATAGTAAATAATATTCATTTTACAATATATAATATATATATAGTTTACAATGGCATTTAAATGTAATTAAAAAAATTAAAATTATATATATATATATTTTAAATTTTATATTAAACTCATTTTTTTAACTAAAATATTTATAATTAATAAAATATTTTTTGTTGTTGATATTAAATATGCATTATTAGTGATTATAAATTTTTAAAAATATTTAATAATATAGGAAAATCATATATTTGTTTATAATTTATTCATAATTGTAGAAAAATTTTGTTTAAAAAATTATTTGCTTTATCATTCAAATTTTATTTTATTTTATTTGCATTAAGATATACAACAAATATTTATTTTTTAAAGTAAAAAAAATAAATTTAATTATTTCAAAAATTATTATGAAAAAAATATTGTTTTTATTATTAATATTTAAGACAATTTAAAACATATTTTTAATTCCTTATTACATAACTTATGTATAAAATAATAAACCTTTTTTTGTAATGTTAAAAACAAACATAAAAAATATGTTAGCTATTTATTACATAACTATCCAAATAAAATACATAACAATATTGTTTTTTTTACTTAATAAAACTATTTATATTTATAATAAAGTTATCTGGATACAATAGTCAAATTGATACGTTTGGGTGTATTTAGAAAACTACTTAACAATAGTTTGGTTGGTATATCTGTTTGGGCACATGTATTGAATCGGTATTTCAATACTAGTGTTGCCAATGTTAGTTTGATTATCATTAGTGCAAAACGTTTGGCAATACACTGTCGCGGACCCAAACCAAACGGTATGAATGCATAGGGTGTCAGTTGGTTACGGTTTTCCGGTAGAAAACGGTCGACATTGAACTGTTCGGGATTGGGATAGTAGTCGCCATTCAAGTGCATAGCATAGATACCAAACTCTACCGATTCGCCAGCTTTGACAATAACACCCGTTTGATGGCCATCGCCGCCACCGCCCAATGGATAGTCATTTTCGACAAACCGGCCCTCACTGATGGCCGGCGAATGCAAGCGTAGTGTTTCGCATACGACAGCCTCGAGTAGCGGCAGATTATGCAACCGATCGACATCTAGTTGCTGGTCATTGTCATCATCATTGATGATGACTGTCCTAATTTCGTCGTAAAGTTTTTGCTGAACACTTTGATTACGGGCCAACTCATAGGTGGCAAACGATAAGGTAATAACTGTTAGCTCATAGCCGCCGGTAGTCAAAAACCAGGCGTTAGCTATGACCTCGTCGTCGGTCAAGTATTTAGACATACCTATCATCAACAACAACAACACTAGTATTATATTAAACTGTAACCAAAAACAAACTATGCACTGATCCAACCTTTTTCATAAAGTCCATAGTCGTCCTCATTATCAGCAGTTGTTTTATTGTTATCATTAATAGTCTGGTCTTCAATAGCGTGCGCCTCCATAAGCAACTCAATAAAGTCCCAGCGCTTACCATCACCACTACAACCACCAATCCCAGTGCTTTCAAGTTTTCGCTGACCAATTACATGACGGGTCAGCTGAAAGAAATACTCATTAGATGTATCGTCGGACAGTAGGTTAACGCCAATCAACTTAAGGACAAACTGCGGTAATATAAGCAATGCTAGCGTACGATACCATTTGGGATATAAAATCTGATTTATATTTATGACAAACGGATGGTTCGGATTGACCGAACAGTTCAAGTCCATAGAGTAGACACAGGCGGCTATAGTGTCCAACACTGAGTTTTCGTACATATGTTTCATGTCGATTGTCTGGCCGCTGGCTGCATACCTGTCCATAGCTGTTGTCAATTGTTTCAAACACTGTCTAACCTTCGGTACCATCGATCGGATCTTTGCCGATGTAAATGCCGAACTCATTATCGATCGGATCCGTTTCCAGTCCCGACCTTCGGCTTCATCAACATTATGACATAGTATAGGATGCTGTCGGGTACTGATAACCGCCTGACTCGACCGGTTCACAAAGTTTGGCCAATCTTTCATACAGATCTGTTTGATTAGATTTGGATTACCGATCATAAGCACCGGTAGATTGCCGTCAAAGTAACTGTAATATAATTATTTTATTAGTAGTAGTATTAAGTAAATTAATTAACAACAAAAAAAAGTTATGCTTAAAAATAATTATAACTAATACTATGTGTGTACTGTATATATAGCTAATATTGATAATATAATACTAGTATAGTATGTTTACCCATATATGTGTCCATATTTTTTCATACGTTGGACATCAATAGAGGCCCGCGTGCGCCATATTAGCGGCAAATTATTGCCAAAACCGATCACCGGTTTCGGGCCAGTTATACCCCGTTTTGACCAATAATCAAAATGTCGTGTAAAATATCTATTGATTTTATTGTTGTAGTAATAAATTATATTATTAACAAAAAAATTTCTTTAAAAATCATTTATAAATAATTTTTGAACTAAACTTACTTATAAATCACTGTTAGTATTATACATATAAAACTTATTAATATTATAGATAGTGACCACATATTTAAAAAAATAAAAATAATAAACAATTGTTACTATAGTTTTATAATATTTTTAAAAATAATATATATGTATATACTAGTATATATTTTATTTTTTTATTTTTTAAACCGTATATTTTTTCTAGTTTATACAAAACAATAAATATTTTTGTTTTAATATATATATATATATATATTGCAATTCATTATTTAAAGTATAATACAATGATTTAGATTTGTGAAACTAGGGTTGTATAAAAAAATTCCCATAAATTTTTGCACATTTACATTAACTTGTATTCACAAAAAAAACTATTTTATTATTAACTAATAATTAAATTAGACCCATTATCTAATATTTACTAATCAATTATACATATTGTTATTAATACATACAAATTATTTTTATATTTATAAACATTTTAATCAAATAACAACAAACAAATCATTTAATTAAATATATATATTTTTAAATATAATATTAAACCATCAAATAAAATGTATGTCTAATGCATTTGACAAACAGCTCCGCCATCGACCCGTAGTATAGCACCCGTTATGAATGAATGGCCAGTCGTGTTGTTGCTGTTGACCAGAAAAGCTACCGCTTCGGCCGTGTCTAGCGGTTCGCCCACTCGTCTCAATGGATATGACTCTGCGCTGTGCGCTATCCAATAGTCCATCATATTTGGGCCCAACTTTTCCAGTAATGGACTTCTAGTTGTGCCCGGACTGGTAGGTAGTATAGGTGTAAGAGAGTGGGGGTGTGTGTATGTATGTATGTATAGATTAATGAGAGATTCAGTGATTAATAAATATTTTTGTTTTTTTTAAACATTACAAAATTTACAAAATTATTTTTGTTATTATTCTTTTAAATAAAAGGTAATTACTTAACACTATTAACCCGAACCCCTTTGGGACCCATTTCTAGGGCCAAACATTTGGTAAACAAATCTAATGCACATTTTGACATCGCATAGGCCGGTGATAGGGTGTCCTATAATTGTAAATACAGTTAAAATTATATTTTTAAAAAATATTTATAACTAATATTTATTTATTTTAGTTTATTACAGGAATTACTGATGAATCACTTGATATGTTAACAACACTGCCATTAGTTTCAACTAAATATGGTATCACTAATCCGGTCAACAATTGTATAGCTTTTAAATTACAATCAAAAAACTTATCATACAATTGAATGTACTGCTGATCTGTAAACTCCATGTCCTCATAATAGGCAGCATTGTTAACAAGTATATCAATTCGACCAAATGTTTCGACAGTCCGATTGACTAACTGTTTGACATCCCTTTCCACTACCAGATCGGCTCTCATACCGATTGCCAGTTGTTTTTGTATACCAAATGATTGACACTTTTTCACCACAGCGTCAATGCGCGACTCATCCCTACCAGTGATGATCACATGTGCACCCAATGAGGACAACTTGACGGCAATGGCCTCACCGATACCCGATGACGACCCTAAATAGAGGGGGGTCGGTGGGGGGGGGGTAAACAATTAGCCAAAAAATTAATACTATTGTTATTTTAATAATAATAGTAATAATAATAATTAATACCTGTTATTATTGCTACCTTTCCATTCATTATTTAGATTTATTAAAACAAAAAATTGATAAACAAGTAATAAAATTGAATATATGATTGAAATAGTTTTTTTAAATTAAAATTATAAATGTATTAGTTTTTCAATAAACTAGAGTTTAAAAAAAATAATATTAAAATTTTTATGTACAGTCTGTATATCCTATCCAAACCTATAATATCTATAATATTTAATTATTTTAAATAAATAATAGTATCCTCTAATATTCAATATACTAACTAACAATATTTTTTATGTAAAAATTTGCTGATTTGTAAGTTTTATAATAAACACATATTTTTTATATTATTAAAAAATAATTTACTGTTATATTGAATAATAATAATTATTATTATTATATTATATCTGTAGAAATTTAGCACAAAATATATTAATATTTAATATATTTAAATATAAAGTGTATTTATTTATGTTGTGGTTTAAATTGTATTAATATTTTTTTTGTAATTTTAAAAAAAATTAATAACAAAAAATAATGTTACAATTTTTAACAAATTGGCCCTTAATTTGTTTTATATTATTATGTATTTTATATATTTATTGGTAAATTATTTTGATTTGGTGTTTTTATTTTAAAAAATTTTGTCTAAAATTTATTTTATACTTTTGAAGGCATTTTACAAAACATTTCAATCATTGGCAAAAACGTGGTATCAATGGCCCGAAACCTATCATAGGTTTCGGCAATAATCTGCCACTACTTTGGCGTAAACGTACTGATCTGGACATGGATTGGGTGCGTAAATACGGCAAAGTTTTCGGGTAATTGGGTTATAGATTCAAAAAAAAAATTATTATAATATAATAAAATTATTATTAAGTATTAAAAATTATATTAATATTATTAACATTATTAACATTATTAATATTATTAATATTATTAATATTATTAATAGTACTTATTATTAACAATAATTATTAAGTACTATGCAATGTATAACATTAATGGTTTAAAAAAAAATCATTAATAATATCTATTTAAATAGTTTTTAATAACTAATTTTAACTAATAATTTTAATACCTTTTATTTTACACATTAATACAATTAATTTTTTTTGTGTAATTTTTTAATAATATTTTATTAACTAATTTTCTGTTAATAATAATAATAATAATAATAACTAATTATTTGTTTATTATTAATGTATTTTTATTATTTCTGTTTTAGTTTAAAATAACTAATTTTAACTAATAATAATTTTAATAAATTTTTTTTAACTAATAATTTTAATAACTTTTATTTTACACATTAATACAATTAATTTTTTTTGTAAAAAAATAATATTTTATTAACTAATTTTCTGTTAATAATAATAATAATAACTAATTATTTGTTATTAATGTCTTATTTATTTTGTTTCTGTATTTATTTAAATTAGTTTATTCTTCGGCAACGAACCAGTTCTGGTGATCAGTGATCCGCAACTGATCAAACAAATCTGTATTAAGGACTGGCATGTATTTATCAATCGGTCGCAATCAAACGTGACCACTACCGAAGCTCATCCTATACTACAGTATCATTTGGATTCGGCCGCCGGTCGCGAATGGCAACGACTGCGCGGTATTGTTACCCAAATATTTACCGGCTCTAAGATCAAGTCGATGATACCGAAGATACACGACTGTACAATGCAAATGTGCCGTACATTGGATCCATTGGCCGCCACCGGTCCCCGTGAAGGTATCGGCGGCACTGGCGGCGGACAAGTAGTCGATATGAAAGAGTTTTATGTCAACTATGTTATGGACTCGACAGCCACTACCGTCTATGCCGTACCGCTTGACTCCAATCGTCAGCCGAAACATCCGTTTGTCCAGAACACCCGTCAACTGGTCAGTCCTAACTGGTATCGTAGTCTACTGTTCCTACTGTTACCCCAATCGTTGCTCAACCTGTTTGGCCTGAAATTTCTGATACCCGATTCGGTTAACGAATATTTTTTCGATGTTACCCGTCGGCTGATTCACGACCGCAACAACGATAGCAACCGATACAATGATTTTGTAAAATTTCTATTAAAAGCCCGAATCGATGACAACACTATCGATGAATATAATATCTATGAAAAAGGTTTTTTTAATTTTAATTAATTAATAATATTTATAATATAATTAAAACTAAAAGGTATGAAAAAGTTTCTGAACGACGACGAAATTGTGGGAACCGGTTGGTCGCTGATCGGTGCCGGCTATGAGGCCCGAGTATTGACCTTATCGTTCGGTACCTACGAGTTGGCAATGAATCCCGAACTACAGGAACGACTCTACGGGGAAGTGATGACCGCTTTTTTCGACGACGACGACTCGGCATCCGATGGCCACCGATTGGACTACGAAAAGATGATTGCGTTGCCATTGTTGGAGGCGTTCATCAACGAAACCTTGAGGTTGCATACGTCGGCCATACGTGAAGGTCGTATGGCTGTCCAGGACTATTGGTTAGGCGATACAGGTTTGCTGGTTAAAAAAGGTGAACAAGTAGAGTTTCCGTTTTATGCTATACATCACTGTCCTGACTACTACCCGAACCCGGAAGCCTTTCTACCCGAACGTTTTCTACCGGAAAATCGCCATAAACTGGTACCCTATACGTTCATGCCGTTCGGTATGGGTGCCCGACAGTGTGTGGCCATGAGGTTTGCCTATTTGGAGTTCAAATATGTTTTCTGTCAGCTTATCCGACGCTATCGTTTTGCCCGTAGTCCACAAACAGATATACCGCCCCGTATTACGCCCAATACGGCCGTCTATTCACCTCAACGTATACTAGTTAATATTGTATCCAGATAAATTTTAATTGATTTTTTTTAAAAAAATGATAATGATAACAAATAAATAAATTTAATTTAATACCGTGCTAGGTAAATTAGTATTTTATTTTATTTTATTTTTAAAAAATATACTGTATAAATTAATTGTAATGCTATTTTTTGTTATTGTTAGAGTATGTATTATTTATATTATGTATAAAATCTAGGTTATATCTTGTTATATTTTATTTATATTTTAATTTATTAACAAAAAATAAAATAATAAATATATATATATATATTAAATAAATAATAAGCAAATAAATAACAAATAAATAAATTATAAATATATAATAATAAATAATATTAGTTTTTTATTTTTTGTTATAGTTTATTATTTAAAATACATTAACATTAGGGTTGCGAAAATTGTCGTTTAAAAATGCAATAATAAAAATTGTTTACCCCACCCTATACGCCAAGCTTTTTCAAGATTTTTGCCATTTTACCCCCAACCTATATCCCCCCTCCCTGAAATAAAAAAAAACCTTGATTAACATAATACATATGTAAATATGTATATAAATATATAGCGCCTATAATAATGATAATATGTATAATATATACTTTGTATAACACTTTCTATAATATTGAATACTTTTTTTAAAAAAAAAATAATTATAAAACCTCTAATTTGACATAAAGTAATTTTTTTTAAATTTCCAATACAATAATGTAATAGGAATTTGTCATATCATAGATACAGTAAAGTCTAATACATCTATATCATAGACATTAAATACTGTATATATACCGGTATATTGTATATATAATATTTTATCTATCAATAATATACAATATATGACCTATATTTTCATTTAATAAACACATATTTAAATAAAACTATTAAATCTTTTTTTTTATTAAACAAAAATTTCTAAACATTAACAAATTTCTAACAATTGTGAAATATAAAATTATTTAAATCATATAAACTAAAAAATTTCTAATAGAAATTTGTCATATCATTAGATAATGAAATTTATAATAAAATTTATAGGTGTTTGTCAACAATAAAAAATATGTTAACAAAAAATATGTCAATATATATATGATTTGATAAATTCCTAAACTTATAATTAATTAATTAATTAATTAAAAAAATACTATTATATTAATGTTTTTCTTAAGATCTTAAATTTATTACTAAATTGCAAATAAATTAATACAAAAAATAATAATTATAATTAATTTTTATAAACAATATATGAAATATATCTATCATTTATTATTATTATTATTATTTTCCATTATACTGACTAACAAATTATTTTGATTAAATATTTTATTTTTCATATATCAATGTCATTAAGTAATTGACATATAATTTTAATAAACACATAGAAAAATACTGTATTTCTAAATAATAGGAATTTGTCATATCATTTGACATTGACATTGAAATTAATTATCAAAAAAATAATATATTATATATTGTTTGTCAATGTCTATGATATGACAGATTCCTATTAGAAATTATTTAGACATATATAATATATTTACTTTTATTTTTTTAATTACTGTATTACTCTTTAATACAGTTATTTGTCGTATCATTGTTTGTTTGACATAAATATTTAGCATTTTATAAGTATACATATTATTTACATACAGTATAGTTATAATATATTGATATTACTCATCAAAAATAAAATAAATAATATAAATGCTATTTAGCTGTTAAGCATATTTCTAAATTGTAAATAAATAAATTAAAAAACAGATTAATAAATACTATGTAATAAATTAGAGTTAATTTTTTGTTGTTGAAACTAATTAGTATTAATTATATTAATAATAAATAATAATAAATTAATGATATGTAATCAAACAATTGTCACATTAATTAATATTTTATTTTAATAATTTTTGTTTATTAAAACAATATTTTATTAAAAATAAAACAAAAACGCTATTTGTATTAAATTAAAATAAATTATTAATTTATTCATATAATTAAAAATTGATTGATTTATTAATTAATTATCTAATTATAATAATAATAAATTATCTTATATATAATATATCTTACATATAATATATCTAATATATATATATATATAATATATATAAATATATATAAATTGTTTTTGTTTCAATAATTGTACACAACGTTTTGAACTATTTTTATTATAAAAAAACAAATATATTAATTTATAGAATAATAATAATAATAAATAACCTAGATATTAATGTATAACAAACATATGCATACAATAAATAAAACTATAAACTATTGTATTAATAAACTAGAGTAACAATTTAACATATATATATATATATATATATATATATATATATATATATATATATATATATATATATATATATATATATATATATATATTAATAAAAGCATTGTTTAATATATATATATATATACAGTATATTATCGTAATTTTTATAACTATTATAAATTATATACAGTATATATAAAATAATTAAAATAATAATATACAACTAAAAAAAATTTATAAAAACAAAATAATACTGTTATATAAATCTATAGACAATAGTAGCTATTATTGCAATACCGACAACAACCGGTACGTACCATAAGCTCAACCAACTGCTACTTATACTACTACTACTACTACCACTACTACTGTCACCACCACTACCCGATTGGTGACCAGCAGCATCGGTAGAGCCGCCGTAATGATTTTTTTCGTCAATTTTGGCCGTTTTTTGTCTATCCTCTGCGCACAGTTCGCCAATCTTATACTTCAGCATCATTTCCCGGGCTTCGGGTGTATGTCCTGAATCTTCAAACGGTTCGCTAGCGTCCCGACCTAACTGTTCCAGCAGTACTTCCTCACCGCCGGGATGTTCCTGAATAAATTTGCTAACATCGTAGACCTGATCGTGTATTAATAGCCAAACAGACCCTGGATTATCTGTTTCATGATTGACCACTTCATCCAATGTAAATGTCTTCATCATCAGTACTAATAATATTATTACTAATTTAGTCAATCAATCAATTAGTTTTTGAATCTAATTGATTGAACCAATAGTTTGTTAGTGTAAAAGACAATCTATATATCTATTATTGAATTAATAAATTAATAGTTAGTATTAAAACTCAACAAACAAATAAACAAACAACAAAAAAGTACTGTTACTTACAATTCAATAGAAAATAGAAAAAAATTGTTTAGAAATTATTAATTTTTAAAAAATGTATATATATTTTGTTAAATATATTAAAATAATTAATATTTTGTTTTTTCTAGTATTACTATTACTACTACTACAGTACTAAAGTTTTGAATGCATTTAAATAATATTTAATAAAATATTTTTTTTTTAAATAATTAAAAATTTTAATATTTGTTTATTCATTGTCATAGACAATGATAAAGTTTTTTTTATTGAATACAAAAATTTTTTTATAATGCAACCTAAATAATATTTACATAGATTTTGAGTTTTTAGATAATGATTTTTTTAATATGAAAAAATAAAAACAATAAAATTTACTTTCATATAGTAGTATAAAAAATGCAAATTTTAACCTAATTATAATTTTAATTACTAAACACTATTTGTTAATTTTTACAAATATTTATTTATTAAAAATTATTTTTTTAAAAATTAAATATAAATGTTTTTATTATTAGTTTTTTTTGAAAAAAAATTATCTATATAGAAATGCAATTATACATAAATTTAATAATTATTAAAAACTATAATAATTTTTACACAAATTTGCTAATAATAATAATAATTAAAAAAAATTAACATAAAAAACAAAAAGAAAATTTATACATAATATTTATCTATAATTTATTTTCTATACAGTATATTCTCAGTATATGATTAATTAACAGTATAATAATTATATAGAAATTACATTGAATTACAATTGAAAATATTAGCATAATATTTAATTGTTAAAAAAATATTAAAGTAAATGTATAATTTAAAAAAATATCTATATAACTTAGCATTTATAAATTATATGCAATGTCATCAATATTTTAGATATTTTCAACTAAAAAAAATTACAGTAATTATTAATAAAAAAATTTTGCAGTTATAAAATATTTATAGGTTTCTGCATATTGTTTAAAAAAATTTTTTTTAAAAATACAATACAATTATTTTTTACAGTATTTAACTATTAGTTTATTATATAAAAAAATTATATTAAATACTTTAATTTAATATTTATATAAATATTTTAAAACTTATTTTTTTATATATAGAAAATAATGTCAACATTTAAAGGCAAAGTTGCTATCATTACAGGTTAGCCCATAAAAAAATTATAAAATAAAAACATTACTAATATTTTACTGTATTTTTTATCTCTAACTAACCGTATCTAAGGCTCATCCCATGGTATCGGTGCCGCTATCGCACAAAAGTTGGCCTCACTGGGAGCTAACTGTGTGATTACAGGTAGAGATGAAAAACGTATCGAAACAGTAGTCAACAAATGCAATGAACTGTCCGGTAGTGACACTCGGACAGCACTGGGAGTCAGAGCTGACCTATTAGTGGCAAATGATCTGAAAAATTTGGTCGACAAAACTGTCAAACAGTTCGGCCGTATAGACATTCTGGTCAATTGCGCCGGTTTTGAACAGTCGGTAAACTTGACCGATTCGGCTGACGACTATTTTGCAGCCTATGACAAAGTGATGGCCACCAATGCCCGTTCGGTTCAAGTACTCAGCCGATTGGTTGTACCGTATTTGTTGGCCAACAACAACCAAGGAAGCGCTATACTAAACATATCGAGTACACTGTCGCTGATACCCGATCCGACAACTATACCCTACTGTATGTCTAAGTGTGCATTGGATATGTTTACCAAATGTTTGGCACTAGAATTGGGACCCAAAGGGGTTCGGGTTAATGCAATTAAGTATACATAAAAAAATTTTTTTATTAACTATTTACACACAATAAATACAATGTCTATCTATCTGTTTATACACGCCACCCCCTAACCCTACATATAATATTACAGTCCCGGAGCTATACGTACGCCACGTGACGAGGAAACCGATAAATTTCTTGTCGATCACTGCCAGAAGTCTTATCCATTGAAACGTATCGGTGAAGTTGAAGATATCGCCGAAACGGCTGCCTTCCTGTGCTCGTCGGCCGCCTCCTTCATAACTGGGGTCGTACTGGCTGTAGATGGAGGAGCTATGCTCTGTGGACTGCCTTAACTTTAAAATTATTATTATTTATTTTTAATTATAATAATTATTAGTCTATTTCTATAATAGTTTACCCGTTAGTTTAAACTAAATTTTAATAATAATAATAATTTTTGTTTAGTAATAGTTATTCAATAGAAATATTTAGAAATAATACTATAATTATGTATAGAATTTATAGTCTATTTACTTATATATATTTTAGTAGAGTTAAGTTGATTTGATTTTTTAATTCAAAATTTATTTTTTTGTTTAATTATTAATAAAAATATTTTTTTTCATTAGCAATTACAACAATTTATAGATTATTAAATATATATCTATTTCTGTATCTGATGAAATATCTAATAAAAATATATTAAATACAGTATATAGGTTACTATATAAAATTCACTAAAACATTTAATTAATTTATTGAAATAATATTGAAAAAAATAGAAAATATTTAAATTAATTAATTATAATTATTTGATATACAAATATAAAATTTATAAACTAATAAAAAATATAATAATAATAAAATATTATTTAAATTAAAAAAAACAATATAGAGTACAGTATAATTATTTTATAAATTTTTTAATAACTATTATAACAAATGGTAATTAATATAAATGTTTAATTTTATTTAAACATTTCAAAAAAAAACAAACAAACAAAAACAAAAAATTAATAATAAAAAAAATTTTATAACTAAAAGTTTTTTAGTTGCGTTTTTCCCATTTTAAAAACATATTGCGTCCCAAATAGATTTCGGTAGATCGGCCAACTAAAGTATCGGGCGATCGGCAAACACGATATCTACGCAACAGCTGTGTCAGTACATACTTGGCCTCCAATAGGGCAAACCGTTCGGCAATACAGTGTCGCGGACCGACACCGAACGGCATGAATGTATTGGGTATCAGTTGGTCACGATTTTCGGGTAGCCATCTATCCGGTCGGAACAGCCACGGTTCGGGATAGTTGTCTGGCGACTTGTGTATGGCATAGAACGGGAACATTACTTTCGTACCCTTTTCAATGCAAATACCTGTATCGCCGCCGCCGCCGCCCAATACATAGTCTTCCTCAGCTACCCGACCTTCGCTGGCCACCAATGCATGCAATCGTAGCGTTTCGCAAACAACACCATTCAATAGCGGCAAATCGGCCAACAATTTTGTATCGACCCGCTGGCTATCGGTGTCCACTGCTTTCTGCAATTCTAGGTAAACCCGATTTTGTAGGTCAGGGTCCAGTGCCAGTTCGTAGGTGGCAAATGCCAACAGTATCTGAATGCCCTCAAAGCCACCCAATGTAAAAAACCAGGCATTGGCCAGCATTTCGTTTTCGTACAAATATTTAGGCATTCCTTTCATTATAAAATATGGACAGTTATGTTGACTTATAAAAAAAAAGTTATAATAGGGTTACTAATAATAATACCTGACTGTTCCCATTGTTGTTCTCTTAACTGTCTGTTTTGGTCATTGCCATCATCTTCTGTATTCACTAACATACGGGCAAACAGACCGATAAAATCGGTCCGCTGTTGACTATCGCGACCGCCATTACGCCTGACCTCCTCTATCCGGTGTCGACATAGTTGGAAAAAATACTGATGAGCCGACTCCGAAAACGGTGTCCGTATGTCGAATAGGTTGAGTAAAAACTTTGGTAACAATCTGATGGCCAAAACCCGATACCATTTGCTATCGATAATACCGTACAGATTGGTAACAAACGGATGATCCGGTTGGGCAGTCGAATCAAGTGAAACACCGTATACCTGGCCGGCAATCAAATCGATCATAAAGTTGGCGTACATATCGATCATGTTTGCCGACTGGCCGGTCTGGACAACTTTATCTAGTAGGCCGAACATCGTAACCAGACTACTGTCCACCGATGGGGCCATGTTTTTGAAGTAGGCATTCGTAAACCAGGGGCTCATTACTTTGCGACACCGTTTCCAAGCCGTGTCCTTAATCTCTTCCATGTTTGCCTGGAGGACGTCGTGATTGACACACGACAGGTCAGTCGGATGGCGTCGATTGATAAATGTTCGCCAATTTTTCACAAATACCTCTTTGATTAGTTCCGGGTCAGATATACATAGTACCGGGGTCATGTTGTCATAGTAACTGTTTTTTTGTTTATATAAATTATATTTAAAAAATATTTATAAATATACATACAGTAAATATAAAGTATGTTTGTATTAATTATTTTTTTTTTTGGTAATCAATTAATGAAAAAAACTAAACTACTTAATAATAATAATAATAATAATAAAACAGGTAGGCTAGGAGTTAAGGGGGTGGGTGATCTAACCTGTAGATACATGTTTATATAAATTATATATATATATATATATATATATATATATATATATATATATATATATATATGTTTGTATTAATTATTTTTTTTAGTAAACAATTAATGAAAAAATAACTAAATTACTAATTACTAATTAATACTAATACTAATAAAAACTGGTAGGTTAGGGGAGGGGGACGGGTGGTGGTTGGTTGGATGGTCCTAACCCGTAAACTTTGCCATATTTTTCTAGCCATTCGACATCTTTGTTTCCTCTTAACAATCCTAGATTCATGAGCTCCAGGTTATTGCCCAAACCTATTACCGGTTTCGGTCCATTGACTCCACGTTTAGTCCAATACTGATTGATTTGTGTTAGATATCTAAATAATAATAATAATGTTTAGTATTAATATTTACATATATTTTTAAAAAAATAAAAAAAAATAAAATAAAAACTTTATTCAAAAAAATATGATTTACCTCCAAATGTAGAATAAAAATCCAAAAATAATTGTCAATATTATTAATGGAGTAGATATTAAATCCATTTTTTAAAAATATTAAATAATATTTATTTATTTTTAAAAAATAGTATAAAAGTATTTTATCAAATATAATAATATAGGTTTTTTCTATAATGATAATACAAATAACAGTATTTAAAAAAAAAATTTATTATTTTAATACAAAACAATTTTTTCTGCAACAACAACAAAAATCAAAATTACATATTTATTATTTGTTTGATTAAAGTAAAATACTGTAATATAATAAGCAAAAAATAAATATTATTAAATAATTTGCTGAATAACTGTTTTATTTAGACAAAAACAAAAAATACTAATTACATAACTATAATATATGCCTTATTAATATATTATATATAAAAAAATAATCTAAATTAAACTACTGATAAAAKATTTGGCCTGGGATAATATACGGTAGATAATATTTTAGTATAATTTATTTTTTTWAAATTAAATAAATCAATCAATCAATATAAAAAATTAAGCAGGGTTAAGCAACAACAAAAAATAGGGTAAAATCAACAAATAAAAGTTTTATTGAACCAAAATTGTTAACAAAGTTTTCTATGAAAACTTACTTAAAATATTATTAATATTTTAATTTTAATAAATACCTTATTAAATTAACCTTAAATTAGTTTCTTATTTAAAAAATATATTTTTTTGTGTAATATTATTAATATATAAACTTTTCATTGCAGTAAAAATTTCTAAACATTTTTAATTACACAACTAATTTTTATAAAATAATTATATTTAAAATTGAATTATTAGATTAAATATAAAAATATTTTATATAATTAAAATTTAATTAATTTTTGTAATTATATATTTTTTGAAACATTATATTTTAGTGTATTAAATATACTTTATGTAAAATATATATTATTATAAATGTTAAAACATATATAAAGTTTATGTGTATTCTTGTTTATTGCAAACATTTTTTTTATTGATTAATATTTTATTTTATTTGAAAAATATATTTTTTAAAAAATAAAAACCGTTTAATGTAAAATATTAGCAATGATATTAAGTTATTTAAAAAACAATAAAAATTTTTATAAAAAAAATTGAAAGTAATCACAATCTAATTATTATCTTATATATTTTTTTGTTGTTTTTAAATAATTTATGTTAAATGCATATTTTATATATAATAAATAATTAAAATTTATGTATTAATTGAAATATCATAAGATTTTCTGTTTGTTGATTTCTCAATATACAATTTTGATATATCATTTCAAAAAAAAGTAAAAAATGTTTTTATTGTAAGAGATGGAAAACTAGAAAATTTCTAATAAATTTCTATAGAAATTTTGTTTTATTTKTTTTTTTTGTAATATAGAATCCCTATAACAATAGCTATTGTAATAACTATATTAATGAGACAATACTTATATACTATACAAATATTTTTTATAAATGTATAAAATGAATTATTATTATTATTATTATTATTATTATATATAATTTATAGGTTTTGTAAAAATTTTATTAATCATTTAATTTTACTTTTTTAGTTAAATTTTCTATTAAAATTATTAATAAAAATAAATAATAAAAATAATATTTAATTATTACTTATAATAAAAAAATGTATTGTTACAGAGATATGATAAAATAAACATTAGGATCACTCATTATAAATTAGAAATTTTTTTCAGAAAATTTCTAGAAATTTTTCTAATATTTTACAATTTTCTTCTTTTTTTGACATAAAAAAAATTATTGTATATTAATTTTTAAAAAATTTCCATAATAAAATATATGTGTTAATTGTAATGTCATAAGATTTATTTTTTTGTTTATTAAATAAATTATTTTTTTTAAATATGTGTCAATAGTGTTTTGACATATGATTTAAAAAGTATTTTTTCAAAAATTATTATTTAAATATCAATAATTATTACACTATWAGTTGACACATTTTTTTAAGAAAAATATTATTTAAAAAAATAAAAATTTATATGTCTTAGTGTTTTTAAAAATATATATATTGATTATGATTTTCAATTAAAATAATTTTTAATCTAACTTATAAATGTAAATAATAAATAAATAATAATATATTAATATTTAATTGTTTTTATAAAATTTTTTAATAAAAATTAAATTATATTTTTTTTAAATGTTGCATGTAGTAAATATCATAATTTAAATTAATTTTGTAATGTTTTTCACTTAATTTACAACAAAAAAAATTATTAACAAATAACAAACAAATAAATTTAATTAAGTAACAATAAATAATACAATAAACTTTATATATTATATAATATTACTCTATATCTAATATTTATATTTGTTTTTAGTAAAATTTTTTTTATTAATTAATTATACTTTTTAGTTTAAGTTTCTATTAAAATTATTAATAAAATTAAATAATAATAATATTAATATTTAATTATTACTTATAATCAAAATATGTATTCATACAGAGATAAACTAAAATTAAGAGTAAGATTAAATTAAGATCTAGTCTCACTATAGATTAAGAAATTTTTTTCAGAAAATTTCTCTAATATTTTAGAATTTTCTTTTTTTGACATAACAAAAATTATTGTATATTAATTAAAAAAAAATTTCCATAATAAAATATCTGTGTTAATGTCATAAGATTTATTTTTTTGTTTATTATATAAATGAAATTTTATTTAAAAAAATATGTGTCAATAGTGTTTTGACATATGATTTTAAAAAAGTATTTATTAAAAAATTATTATTTAAATATCAATAATTATTACACTATTAGTTGACACATTTAAAAAAAAAAATATTATTACAAAAAATAAAATTTTATAGGTCTTAGTGTTTTAAAAAATACTAGTTTGTCCCGCGCAACATGTATAGCCGTGCAATTCTTTTACTAATTTTAAAATATTCATCATAAGTAATTTGAATGAAACTTAATTTGTCTATASAACTACTACATAACATAAAAAACAAAACTACTGAACCAATACACATTATTTTGTCTAAACTTTTGAGAAATTTTAATTTTTTATATATATTTAAAAAATTTAATAAAAATAAAAATTTAATCATTTTTTCGAAAAAAATTTGCATTTGAAAAAAATTTACAAAAATTTAGCACATTTAGCTAACCTTTTGGTGCCCTAAAACACACAATATAGCAAAGTGTAATTACACAACACTTGCCTACCTGTCCATAAAACCTACCTGAGCTCAATAAACATTTAAAATTTCTCATAGAAATAACATTGCTTTAAATTAAAATTAAAAATTTTAACAAATTGAAAATTTTACAAAAATTTAGCACAGGTAGCTAACCTCCCGGTGCCCTGTAACTTATAGAATATAGCAAAATATAGTTAAACAACATCAGCCTACCTGAGCCTAAAACCTACCTGAGCTCAATAAACATTAAAAATTTCCCATAGAAATAACATTACTTTGAATAAAAATTGAAAATATAACAATACATTTTTACGTTTACATTAAAATATGGTTGTTGATGAAAAGTGTCATACATAAATACAAAAAAGACTATTATATTAAAATGTTATCTTGATATATATATATATATATATTGATTATGATTTTCAATTAAAGTAATTTTTAATCTAGTCTATAAATGTTAATAATAAATAATAAAATTATAAATATTTAATTGTTTATATATATTTTTTAATAAAAATTAATTTTTTTTAAATGTAAATATGATATGATAATTTAAATTAATTTTGTAATGTTTTTCATAAAAATTGATTAGTTTTGAAGTTKTTAAAACTTAATTTACTTAAGTTTCTATTAAAATTATTAATAAAATTAAATAATAATAATATTAATATTTAATTTTTACTTATAATCTAAATATGTATTGTTATAATTAATTTTTATATTTTTATTTCATTGACGTCTCTAGAGTTACGCAGTTATTAATGAGATGACAATTTATATAATTATTAAAATAAAATTAAATGCTATTTTCTAATTATAATTAACTTATTATATTTAAAAAATATTATTTAAAAAAATGATTAGTTTTGAAGTTTTTAAAACTTAATTTACAAAAAAAAATTATTAACAAATAACAAACAAATAATACAATAAACTTTATATATTATATAATATTACTCTATATCTAATATTTATATTTGTTTTTAGTAAATTTTTTTTATTAAATAAAAAAATACAATATAAACTGATATCTATCTATTAAAATATCTAAACAATTTTAATTATACAATTAAATATTAATAAAATTAATGTTAAAAAGCATTTTGTTTAAAAAAACATTACATTAGACTATTAATTAATTAATTACTTAATTAATTAATCAGTCAATTAGTAACTCGTTTTTCAACTTTCAAAAACAATTTTTCCGGACAATAGGTATAGTGTTCGACAAGCGGTTCGGTTTTCAGTACGGTTTGATCGCACTGTTTGAATCTATACCTGATTAGCAAATGTGCCATGGTCAATTTAATGGAATTCAATGCAAACTTATTGCCCGGACACATACGACCACCTAAGCTGAACGGCAGGAAAGTATAGGCAACTAAATTGGATTTGTTAGCACTTAGAAATCGGTCGGGTCTGAACTTTTCCGGCTCCTGGTAGTAATCGGGGCATCTGTGCAATGCTGAACGCGAAAATATGACTACCTGATCCTTTTTGATGGTAACACCTAATCAAATACAATAAAATAAATAACTATTTAGTTAGGAGACTACTAATCATTTGTTTCATAAGTATACCAGTTGTCTGATCGACGTAGTCCTGTGTGGCCACACGTCCGTCCCGTATGACTGCCGAATGTAGTCTCAATGCCTCAGATATACAGGCATCCAAATAATCCAGTCGGACAAGTGTTTCAAAATCAAACTGTCCGGTTGACTGATCCCAGCACTGGCTAATCTCATCATAGACTCGCTGCTGACAGTCGGGATTGACGGCCAACTCGTACGTAATGAATGTCATCGAAATGGAGTGGCCGTCGAAAGCTCCCTGAAATAGGGAGAACACGTTGGCTACCACTTCCTCTGTGGCTAACATTTGTTTGTTGTTTTGTAGTACTTCTACACAAATAAAAACAACAAAAAATTAATAATAATTAAATATATCATAAAATAAATACAGTATTATATACTGAGAGAGAGAGAGAGAGAGAGAGAGAGAGAGAAGAAAGAGAGGGAGAGAGTTCTCTCTCTCTCTCTCTCTCTCTCTCTTAGTATATACAAAACATACCGTCACTACTGGATGTCTGAACAGTTTGTTTTTGTTGTTGTCTTTCCTGAAAATCTCGGCACCGATTCAGTAAGGATTGTAGAAAATCTTCGTAGACATCGTCCGGCGATTGTTTACGTTTAGTAATCTGTCGGACAGTCAGATCGGCGAAATCATTCAGCGCCTGTTTGGACATAATATTGCAAATATCGAGGAATTGTAGCAAAAATTTCGGCAAAACAAAAATGGCCAGAATTCGGAATTTTGATGGAAAAAATATCCGTTTAATTAGTGGTGTAAAATCATTGGTTTGGACCGCCGATTGTTGCCGACTAAATGAATCCTGGTCCAACGAAAACATGGCCGACCCTATTAAGTCTATACCCTGATTGACAAACATTTCGCGTATATCGACCACTGCCTCGGCGTCCGTCTCCCGACCCAACCATCCATCCAAAGCTTTAGTCAAATTTCGTAGATTGGCCTCAATTTTGCTGACCATCGATCGGAGTTTGATATCCGTAAACAGTGTCTTAACTACGGCACGCATACGCAGCCAATCGTCATCTTTGGTATTGTCGATGACGTGCCTATAGATTGGATGATCGGCCGGTGTTAGCAAAACCCTGAGTCGATTGCGAAATGTATTGAAATCTTTGACCAAAATGTTTTTGATTAGCCGCGGATCGGATGTTACCAGTATTGGATCAGTTCCTTCAAACACACTATCAAACCAATCAAATTTTATTTTTGGTTTTGTTATAAATCAATAATTTTAGTAATACTAGTAATAAAACTCATGTACCCATAGGTCGGTCCATATTTCAGACGTCTTTCTCTATCGATAAGCGAAATCCGGCGAAACAACTCTTCAAATGTATTGCCAAACCATATGATAGGTTTCGGTCCTTTCAGTCCTCTGTCCGACCAATAGCTATAATTACGGTTCAAATGACTGATACAAACAAACAAAAAATCATTTATTTATTGAACAATAAATTCAATAAATATTTTCTTATATTTTTTAGAGTTTTTAGATATAATATATGATTCAAATTAATAAATATCAAAGAAACAAAAAATTATTGTTATTTTTTTTATTTAGTAGAAAATTTTATTTTTATTTTTATTTCATATTATATACTTACCGATAAAATAATATTGCAACCAAACATACTATAGTTATTAAAATTATCATTATCAAAAATTAAATAAATAATTTTATTAACAAACTAGAAAATAATGATATAATAAAATAATAGAAATAATGTATTTATTAAAAAATAAAATAAAATTATTAAATAAATTCTTTATTTAAAAAAACTATTGATTGTTGAATAGATATATATATATATATATATATATATATAGTTAATTTTCTAACTAATTGTTACAATAGATAATGATTTTTTTTTGTTATACAGTTTTTATTAATTAAATTATTAATCACAAAAAAAACTAATTAAATGCAATATCATTAGAGTAGTTGTAGATAAATATTAATAATAATTTATGATATTTAAAATAATTTGAATTGTTTTTTTCCATTTTTTTGAATTATTGTATAAATCAGTACATATCTATCTAATGACAACTACTGTACATTACATTAAATAAAATACAGTATTAATGAAAAAAATATTTTTAAAAAATAACTAAAATAATTTTAAAATTTAATTAAAATTATTTTAAATTACAATTTTATTTTTCAAACTAAACAAATAAATATGCAAATAATATCAATTGAATTTGCTACTTGTTTGTTAACATTAATAATTATTGTTTTATATAAGTAAGTAATTTACAATTTTATTAAATATGTTATTTTAAAAAATATTTAAATAAATACATATAAAATATATTTTAGATTATTTACATAATTAAATGATACTAATAAATTAAATTTAGATTTTTAAAACAAAAATTATTTTTTGAATTTAAATCCTAGATATTTTAGTCGACATTTTAACTATTGGCGCAAACGTGGTATAACCGGTCCGTATCCATGGCTGGGGTTTGGCAACAATTTTCAACTGCTTTGGCGTAGCCGAGCACAGGTAGACATTGAATGGATGAAAAAATATGGCAAACTATATGGGTTAGTGGTTTAGTAAACAGGAAAAACAAATTGTTAACTATTATTTAATATCTCTATATTATTATATAAAGCTATTATTCGTTTAATACACCGATTCTGACTATTGGCGATCCAGAGCTTATCAAACAGGTATGCATTAAGGACTGGTCATCGTTTCCCAACCGATCGGTACCGTCGGTGCTCAGTGTCCGCGATGAACCCCTGTTGGGTCTGAACATTGACGAGACAACCGATAGTCATTGGCAACGAATCCGACAGACTATGAATCCGGGTTTTACTTCATCCAAACTGAAACAATTGTGGCCTAAAATCGACGAATCGCTTAGCAAACTGTTTGAAGCCGTGGAACCGTATGTAGCCGTCGGCGGACAGTCAGGATCGCCGGTTCCGATGAAACAACTATACGAACAGTATGTTATTAACATACACGCGCTCAGCATATTCTCGTTGGCCATCAATGCCCATAAACAGCCGGAACATCCCTACGTTCGGCACACCCTAAACATACTCAATCCAAACCCATTACGATCGCTAGCTGTTCGCCTGTTGCCGGCACCGGTACTCAAGCTATTGAATATGAATATACTGTTCGAAGAGGAATCCAATGAATACTTTCTTCAGCTGACCAGTCATCTGATGAATGAGCGTCAACTGATGGCGACGACCGACAAAAACAACAGCAACAGCAGCACCGGTAGTAGTAGTAGTAATCAGTATAACGATTGGCTAGAGTTGTTAATGACTAATATGGTAGCAAATAAATGGCAGTTTCATCCAAATAATAAAGGTTTTTATTGACATAACAATTGATTGATTAATTAATTAATTAATTATGAATTTATAGGAATAAATGGCGAAAAGTTTACGAACGAAGAAATTCTGGCCAACGCTTGGATACTGACAACCGTCGGATTTGATTCAACAGTTACCACACATACCTATGCCAGCTATGAGTTGGCCAACAATCCTCGTCTACAACAACAAGTTTACGATGAAGTGATGTCATGTATGGACACAACAACAACAACAACAAGTGGCCGGAAATTAGATTACAATCGGCTAATGACTATCGAGTTATTGGATTCGGTAATCAGCGAAACATTGCGCTTACATTCGCCGGCCGTACGCGAGAGTCGTTTTACCGAAACAACGTCCGACTATCAGTTAGGCGATACCGGTATTTCAGTAAAACAGGGCGAAAAAGTGGAATTTCCTATCTATGCTATACATCACTGTGAAGACTACTATCCCAGTGCCTCCGAGTTCCGTCCCGAACGGTTTCTACCCGCAAATCGTCATCAACTGATACCCGGAACATATCTGCCATTTGGTTTGGGTCCCCGACACTGTCTGGCCAAACAGTTTGTATTGATGTTAGTGAAAATAAGTCTGGCCAATCTACTGGTCCGCTATCGGCTGTCTACTTGTCCCCAAACTGATCCCCGACCTCTGCACAGTAGTCTAATCTATGCGCCCAAACATACACTGGTATTAAAGTTTGAATCTAGAAATTAAATTTTTTTTTGTTAATATTATTTTATTATTATTATTATTTTATAAATTCATAATACATAAGAATAAATTAATAATTAATAATTAAAAAATAGATCACATTATGTGTGCTATGAAATAATTAGATACAAAATAAAAAGTTTTAAACAAAGTTATCTCAAATTTTAATATAAAATAAAATTTAAATTGAAAATATTTTATTATAATAAATATTGTTAATAATAGTCAGTATAAAAAAAAATTAAAATCAAACATTTTAAAATGTAAACATTTACGTAGACTAACTATAGTTTAATTATCATTAATTGATAAATAAATTCAATTTAATTTACTGTATTTAAAAAATATAATTTATTTATTTTAAAAAAAAACTCAGTTTATTGTATATATTATTTAATACTGTTTTTTAATAATACAATAATAATACTGTTATTAATTTTTTTATATATCAAATAAAAAACTTATAATACTATTATAAAAAATAATAATAATAATTATTACTAAATTCAATAGCGTTTAACAAATTTCAAAAACATATTTCTCGAGTCAAATATCTTGGACGAGTGGCCGACCACTGTTTGCGGACACCGCTGGACCCGATATCTGATTAACATTTCGGCCAACACATACTTAACTTCCAAACTGGCAAATCGTTCGGCTATACAATGACGCGGACCGATACCGAACGGCATAAAAGTGTTGGCCACTAGATTCGGGCGATTTTCGGGTAAAAATCGATCGGCATTGAACGTCCAGGGTTGGTCATAAAATTCAGGACATTTGTGTATAGCGTAAAACGGTATTTCAACTTTGACCCCTTGTTCAATAACCAGACCCGTATCGGCTAACCGGAAATCTTCGGCGGCCACTTTCGCGTCGGACGGAACCAGAAAGTGTAGTCTCAGTGTTTCGCATACGAGAGCATTGAGCACCGGTAGTCCAGATAAAACTTTCAGATCAATGTTGTTGTTGTTGTTACCACTATTACCAGTACTACTACTGGTGTCTGTGACTACCGTTTTGATTATTTCGTCGTAAACTCGTTGCTGTAGTTCCTCATTCATGGCCAACTCGTACGTAGCAAACGATACGGCTATCAATCGGGTCTCGAACCCACCCATTGTCAGATTCCAGACGTTGGCCAGTATTTCGTCTTCGTAGGCAAACTTTTGCATACCTGTCCGCAGCCATTGTTCGTCAGTAATTCGGCGCCGATCGTCGGCAGTGTTGTCGTTAGCCGACAAAATCTGGGCGAACTGTCCAACAAAATCCCGGGTCTTATCGCCGCTAATCAGTCTCTTACGGAGCATATGTTTGGCTAATTGCAGAAAGTATTGATGAGCCGACTCGTCAAACGGTGTCCTAATGTTCAACAGCTTAAGCAACCAATTGGGCAACAGTTTCTGAGCTAATACCCGATAGTCGATCGGATCAATTGTTTTGTTAATATTCTGGACAAACGGATGTTCGGGTTCGGTAAACGAGTCCAACGAAATACCGTATACCTGACCGGCAATCACATTGATTATGTATTTTTCGTAGACATCAATCATATTAACAGCTTTATCGCCGTCACCGATATGACTGTCTATTGCCGTAAACAATGTCCGCAAACATTGTCGTTCACTATCGACTAGTGTACCAAAGTAGGCATTGGTAAACCACGGGCTCATAACTGTGCGCAACCGTTTCCATTGGACATCCCGGAGCTCTTCAATGTTTAGCGAAAGTATTTCGTGATTCAAACAGGACAACGATGTCGGTTGTCGTCGATTCAAAAAGAGGCGCCAGTTCTTAATGACCACCTCTTTGATTAGTAACGGGTCGGCTATACAGAGCACCGGTTGGGTATTGTCGTAGTAACTGAGGTTAAGTTTTAAAATATATATATATATATATAAATAATATTTGTTTTGTTGTGTGTGTGTGTGTGTGTGTCAATATAAAACTTATAGTTTCATATGGTGGGATTAACCAATAGTGGATATGGGAAAAGGGTAAGCACTGAGGGGAAGCATTAATACATATAAAGCTATCAATAGTGATTGCGCAATAACATTGAAATAAAAATTTTAGAGTTTCCAACAAAATATATAAAAAATAAGGAATTATAAGAAAAATTGTATTTTGTTTTTTATATAATTTTAAATTTTAATTACTAATTTCTTTAATTTTTAATTTTTATTAATTTAATAATAAATTTATATTTAATTAATAAGTTATTTATCAAAATTTGTTTTATTTTTCTAATTTGTATGTATTATTATTTAGTACTCCAAATAAAATATAATTTGGTCACTCTAATTTTTCATACTCTATGATCCCACCATATGAAACTATAAGTTTTATATTGGTGTGTGTGTATATGTGTCTGCCTGTATGTATCAGGGTTGCTAAAGGGGGTGGGGTAGGGGTTACCCCTCCCTGAGATAATCGAGAATTTTTGGATCTTACCACCCCTAAACTGAAGCCAAAAAGTTAGGGGGCCCCCTGTCAATTTTTGGAGCCGAATTTGGAGTGGGAATTTGGCAAAAATTTTTGTTTAAAAATGCAATAAAATTTTTCACCCCCCCCTTATACCCCCAATATTTTTTTCAGTTTTATGCCTTATACCTCCCCTGAAATCGAAAACTTTAGCAACCCTGGTATGTGTGTGTGTGTGTGTGTGTGTGTATGTGTGTGTGTGTGTATGTGTGTGTGTGTGTGTGTGTGTGTGTGTGAGTGAGTGAGTGAGTGTGTGTGTGTATGTGTGTGTGTGTGTGTGTGTGTGTGTGTGTGTGTGTGTGTGTGTGTGTGTGTGTGTGTGTGTGTGTGTGAGTGAGTGTGTGTGTGTGTGTGTGTGTGTGTGTGTGTGTGTGTGTGTGTGTGTGTGTGTGTGTGTGTGTGTGTGTGTGTGTGTGTGTGTGTGTGTGTGTGTGTGTGTGTGTGTGTGTGTGTGTGAGTGAGTGAGTGAGTGAGTGTGTGTRTGTGTGTTTATGATGACTACAAACCCGTATAATTTGCCAAATTTGGTCATCCATTCACTGTCTTTATTGCCCCGACCTCTGCCAACATTCATGAGCTCCAGATTATTGCCAAAACCAATGACCGGTTTCGGACCGTTTACGCCACGACTCGACCAATAGGTGTTGACTTTTTTCAGATACCTGAGCGAAACAACACAAAACATTTAAGTTAATAAAACTTTTTTGTTATTAAAAAAATTTAACTTAATTTTTTAGTATTTAATTTATAATTTAAATAAATAAATAAAATTAGTATACATACTAACCACCAAACATAAATTAGACCAATAATTATTAATAATAATACAAATAACCATGGTAAATTATTATCGTAAATATTTTGAATTAAAAACATTTTTTGTTTCATATACTATCTTTTAAAAAAAACTATTACATTGAATATCATTAAAATACAAAATATTAATTAAAAAACTTATAATTTTTTTTATATTTGTTTTAATATATCATAGTGTTGTATATATATTGTTGATAGTATTGGGAAATAATAAATATCATACACATTAATTATTATTATTATTATTATTATTATTATAAAAAAAGTAAAATATTTTAATTAATATTGTATAAATTATTAAACAACAAAAAAAAACAATCAATTATAATGATATATCAAAAATACTTGTATTTTATTTTACAGTAACACACAAACAGTTGGCATAATTTATTTTTTACTAACTGTTTATTAGTGTTGCTATACATTACGAGTCTAATCATGTGTGTGTGTGTGTGTGTGTACTTTCCCCCCAGGGGTGGGTGGAGTGGGGGTGGGGTAATATATACATATATGTCATTGCTATACACTTATAAAGTATTCAAACCAAGGTTGTATTTTTGTTTGTTTGTTTTTACATAAATTTTAAATATGTTATTTAGATAATAAAAAAATTGTTTCTGTATCTGCCAACCCTTATAATAATAATTATTAATTATTATTATTATTATTATTATTATGTACTGTATATACGTTTACATTTCATTATATAACAAATTTTCTTTAACAAAATTTTTTTATTTAAATCTGTATTTTATAAGTAATTTATTTATTAAATAATAAGTAAAAAATTTAATAATTATACATAATATAACACACACACACACATATATATATATATATATATATATATATATATATATAACTATGTTATAAATTAAAGTTAAATTATAATTTTTACAAAGATTTTACAATAATATAAGTTAAAAAAAATCGATAATAGTTAACAATATTTTAAAAATATATAATCAAATATATATATATATATTTTTTAATTTTAAAATAAATAGTTATTTTATATTAACTTTTTATTTAGTTATTTTTTTATAACTACCTATTATTATTACATAATTAATATTATAGGCTTTAAATACAGTAATACAACTCAACAATAATAATACAAAAATGTCAATAATTGCATCATTTATTGTATGGATGGCATACAATCTATTAACTATACTAAAATCAATAGCTATTATATCGATTGTTTATTATCTAGCACATTTTTATTATCGATACTATTGTTTACCACCTGGACCATTTCCAGTTCCTATATTTGGAAACTTATCATGTAAGTTTTTAAAAAAAATAATATATTGATTTAACATAACGTTATTTATTGAAACATTGCGTTATTTATTAAAACATTACGTTATTTATTAAATTTTTTCGTTATTTATTAATATATTGTTATTTATTAAAGTTTACGTTATTTATTAAAAGATTACGTTATTTATTAAAATTTTACGTTATTTATTGAAACATTACGTTATTTATTTACGGTTATAATATCTTTATTATTATTAATTTTAGTATTTACAAAACACTGGGACCAATTATTTAGGGAATTTATTAAAAAATATGGTCCCATATTTACTGTACACATTGGTAGTACACCGCAAATTTTTATAGCCGACATTGATATAGCTAGAGATGCTTTCAATAGACAGGAGTTTGCTGGAAGACCCGAAATATTAACCGGTAATTAATTAATTAATTATTTTTAAAAAAATAATTTTAACATTTTTACAGCAATTAATTAATACAATACAATATATATATTATTTTAAAAAAATAATCAAGGTACACTATTTAAATATGACAAAAATTTTGATGTATTTTTTACCGATTACGGACACACTTGGCAATCGCTTAGACGTATAGCTCACGGGGCTGTACTGTAAGTGAAAGTTATTTTGTTAAAGAAACAAATATACTGTACTGTATATACAGTATATTTATGATATATATAAATCTTAGTTTAAAAAATAAACTATTTTTTTTAATTCAGAAAAAATCATAATATATTTATAAATTAAATATATATATTTTTTTAGAAAATACTCGACAAATGAACGACTCGTTAATGTTATCATCGATAGCGTTGATCGTACAGTAGATAATATGTTGGACAGTATGGGTCCCGACAAACCATTTAATCCGATTGAATATATTTATCTAACGTTTCTCAATATAATTGCCAGCAGTGTATTTGGACAAAGGTATATAAATTATATAACGTAAAGTTTCTTATTTTTAAAAAATAAAATAAATAAATAAAGTTATAAACTTTAACATAATTTTAATATAAGTTAATAATAATAATCTATTTTTTTTATTAAATTAAAACCAATATTTATAATCATAGATATAAAGTACTGTACTTTAAATAAATAAATAATATATCTGTCTCTCTGTCTCTCTGTCTAACACACAATGTATTAATTATATTATTTATTTTAATAATTAAAAAAAAATAATTATATTTTTAAAATTTTTATTTAGTTACACATTAGACGACCCGGAATTTCGTCAAATCAAATATACATTCTATGATCTGGAGTTCGAAACCGGCAATTGTTTTGTTTTGTGGGAATGGGCGCCAATATTTCGTTGGCTGTATAGACCGGATCTATTCAACCATTATAAGCATCATTTTGTTAGTTTACGTCAACTAATACAACAAAAATTTCTGGACCATCGACACGATTATCAACCAGATATTGAACGAGACTTTTGCGATGCACTGATAGCCACTGCCGATGAAGCCGTCCATCAGTCAAAAGAGTCGGCACCCTATCTGACGGATGCAAACCTATCAATGACTGTATTCGATGTATTCTTTGCCGGTGTCGACACCTCGCAGATAACATTTCAATGGCTGCTACTGTTGTTAGCCTACTATCCTGATGTACAGCAACGGGTGCGGCAGGAAATCGATAGTATTTGTGGCGACCATTTGCCCGGACACGCGGATCGCGACCGGTGTCACTATACTATGGCAGTCATATCGGAAACGTTACGCTACAGAAATGCGGCTCCGTTTGGTGTATCGCATAAAACTATGGTCACCACTAAACTAGGTATAGATACCATATATATAATACCTATATATATATATATAATACCTGTATATATATATAATACCTGTATATATATAATACTTGTATATATATATAATACCTGTATATATATAATACCTGTATATATATAATACCTGTATATATAATACCTGTATATATATAATACCTGTATATATATAATACCTGTATATATATATAATACCTGTATATATATAATACCTGTATATATATAATACCTGTATATATATAATAACTGTATATATATAATACCTGTATATATATAATACCTGTATATACAGTACATAGTACCTGTATATATATAATACCTGTATATATAATACTTGTGTGTATATATAATACCTGTATATATTTAATACCTGTATTTCTCTAGTTATATAATAATAATATTTTATTTGTTTGTTAACTGTAGGCCAATATACTGTTCCCAAAAATACAGCAATTGGCGTATTTCAAGGCTATATACTAAGTAACGATAGCGACAAACATTGGTCGGGAGGCGACGGTATGGACTTCAGACCCGACCGATTCATTGATAGCGACGGCAAATACATACTGAAACGCTTGCCATCGTTCATACCGTTTGGTTTGGGTCGTCGGGTATGTCTGGGCGAACGGCTGGCCTATGCCGACCTGTTTCTGGTTTTAGTACGACTCATACAGCGTACCCGTAACTATGATATTTTGTTGGACAGTCATAAGGGTCTGGACCCCAATCATGATATACGTGATGTGGTCACACCCAATGAGTTTAATATTGTTTTGAAAACTAAACTTTAAATTATAATTTTCATATATACATAATAAAGTATATAAAAATATTGATTGAATATAAATTTTATCTAATGTTCATTAATTTGTTTAATATATTTTTAAAATATTTATTAAGAAACAAAATTAATTTTTTTAATAATAATAATATGTTAAAAATTAACTAAAAAAATTAAGCATTTACTTTTATTATAGTTAATTTTGCTATTTTGTAAAAAAAAACTATTATTATCTAAAGTTTATTAATTTGTTTTATTATATTTTTAAAATATTTAGTTAAGTAACAAAAATTATTTTTTTTAATAATAATAATATGTTAAAAATTTACTTTAAAAATTAACACTTACTTTTATTATAGTTAATTTTGTAAAAAAACTATTTTTAATCAAATTATGATAGCATGAATTTTTTTTTTATATAATTAAGTTACATAACTTTTGGGATAATTTTTTAATTAATTTTAAAACCTATCTTAATATGTATTGGTAAACTCTAGTTTTTAATTATTTATAAAAATAATAACATTTTATTAGATTTGATACAAAAATTAGTAATTTATCTTTTTTTAAATAATAAATTCTAACTTTTTAAAAAATATTTATTTATTTTATTTTTGAAATATAATTAAATGCAATTATTTACTAAAGTTTAGGTAAATATATAAATGCTTTTCATAACTATAAAAAAATAATTTTAATTAATAATTTTCAATATATTATTTACATTAAATAAAGTGCTGTTTTGAGCTAAAAACGGATCGTCCGGTCAATGGCTGAATTGGTCGGCAATTATCTAAAATATGAGTTTCATTGCCAATAGGAAACTCCCATTGCATCAAACGAAATGTGTTTAACTATTAATATAAATTTATATATATTTATATATTTAAAAGTAAAATAAAAATTAAAAAAAATATATCATTTATTAATTAAATATGTTTTTTAAAAAATTAAACAAATATTGTTTTATGTTTTAATTAGTTTTAATTAGTTTATATTATTCTCTTTATATTATATTTAATAATAATAAGTTTATAAAAAACAAATTGCTTAATTAAACTAAATTAAAAATATAAAAAATTAAACCTGTTTAGTACTGATTGAAATGCGATTTTCAAAAATGATCCAGGTAACCGATTCGTGACATGGCGGTATTGTAATTGATCCATGATATTTGTACATGTACATGGGCAACATTGAGCTAATATAAAACGATTGATCAGCCGATATATCTATGGATGTATTGAATGGGGCGATACGGGATACGGCATCAATTAATGGCTTCAAATTGGGATTATCATTGTCGCTGATGTCGGCCATTACCGACATAATAACGATACCGTTTGGATGAAACAATGCCTCATCAGTGTTGCCGTAGTCTTGGTTAAAGTGTGTGAAAAATATCTATATTTTTTTTTATTAAAAATATTAATAAATAGATTTTTTTACTATCATTTTTAAAATTAAGTGGTAGTAGTGGTAGTAGTGGTAGTAGTGGTAGTAGTGGTAGTAGTGGTAGTAGTGGTAGTAGTGGTAGTAGTGGTAGTAGTGGTAGTAGTGGTAGTAGTGGTAGTAGTGGTAGTAGTGGTAGTAGTGGTAGTAGTGGTAGTAGTGGTAGTAGTGGTAGTAGTGGTAGTAGTGGTAGTAGTGGTAGTAGTGGTAGTAGTGGTAGTAGTGGTAGTAGTGGTAGTAGTGGTAGTAGTGGTAGTAGTGGTAGTAGTGGTAGTAGTGGTAGTTATAAAAATATTATACCTCTGCAGCTGCTGATTTGCCATCAACACTATGTTCACTACCACCATCTACTTGTTTACCCCAATTAAACTGTAGGTGCTCAAGTATATATCTGGTATCGCCTGTATCACTCAACTCGACAAATGGTCTACTCTGGGTTGGTGTTGTCTCAAACGATACCTGTGCCAAATCGCCATTGTTTGCCACATTAGTATCGTACGATTGTTGATAGTTGTATAAAACCAAACTAAATGTCTGATAGACTAGTCTATGGGTATCGATATTGATTGGCGATTGTCTATTGGCACCGCAACCCGGAAACATTGTCGACCATATTGTTTTATCTAGATAAAAATTTATGTTTATAACAAAAAAAATTAAAAAAAAGTTTTATAATTTTATCATGGTCAACTAAGTAATGTTTTTTTATATAAATATTATTGAGAGAAAAAAAACAATTACCTGCATATGAATATGATGGCCCTGAACAGATAAAATCATTTACTAATAAATTATTATTATAGCCATAACAATTTTGTAATAATAATAATAATAATAATGTATAAAAAGTTTTATGTAAATTTTTATACATTTTATCATTATATATAATTTATATATACTGTATATAAAAAATCTATTTTTAAAAAAAAATATATCAAATAATATTTTTTTATTTTTTTAAATTAGTTAATCTTTTTTGCCGTACATTAAAAAAAATTTTAAACTTAACTATTTGACTAAACAAAATAATATACATGTATATTGTAACATATATTTTTATTTTAAAAAAAATATTTTAAATTTTTGCAAATAATAAATATTTGCAAATTTATTCAACAATAAGACAAAAAAATTGTTTTTTTTTTGAGTAAAATAAAACATTTTTTAAAAAGTTGTATTTAATGCATATTATAAAATATTTAATATATTTTACATTTTAATACATTATATATTTTGTATTAAATATTAATTTTTTTCAAAAAAAACAAACACACATACATAAACATTATATTAACACAAACAATAAAAATATATTAGTATATAAAACAAAAATAAACAACAAAAAAATAAATTAAATAAAATATGCGATCATTATTGCTATTATTTTATCTAATTATTTTATTTAGTAATTATTTTAAATCTATATTAAACAGTGGCAACAATACTGAATGTAATGGACCAACATTTGCCTATAAAGGTAATTATAATTTAATTATTATTGTATATATCAGTATATATAAGTAGTGACAGGAAAATCATTATCTCAGTTTCAATCTAATAACAAATATATAGTTTACAAAAAAAATAAATTATTATTGTATATATCAGTATATATAAGTTATATATACAGTAAAGTATAATATCATTATTAAAACAAAAACAAAACTAAATGATTAAAGATAAGACCAAATGGTCGGTCATATTTCCCGGCTGTGGCGCCGACCGTCAGTCGCCAATCAATATCGATAGACAACTGGCCGTCTATTTGCCTGAACTGAAGCTAATTTTCTACAACTATATGCAAACATACGACTGGGAGGTACTGAACAATGGAGAAACCGTACAACTGATGACACGCGGTATTGTCGGTCCAGTACTTGATTTAAGGGACAGTAGTAGTGGTGGTGGTGGTGGTGCTGGTGGTGGAGTCGCCACCTCTGATAGATATCATTTCTATAGTGCACTATTTCATTGGGGACAGTCCGATGATGATCAGGGCTCAGAGCATAGTATCGATAATAAGTTTGCATCGGCTGAGGTAGTATACCTGTACTGTATATTTATATATATAACAAATATATAGTATATATGATAATATTTTTTGGTTTTAATCATTATTATTGTTATTTAGTTAACAAAAATTCAATAGATAACCATAAATTGCATTATACAGTATAAAAAATAATAATAGACTAATACACTATAACTAATTATACTATAGTAATAGTAATAGTAATAGTAATAATAATAATAAATTTGTACAGTAAGGTATCTTATTGTATTGTATTTAAAAAAAATTAATTGATATTATATTTAAGATACTGTATTGTATTGTTTTTTTTTTAATAGTTATATATAACACATTACAATGAAAAGTATGGCAATATGGACAATGCCGTACCCTATGATGACGGTATGCTTATCCTATCGACAATGTTTACCATAGCCGACGACAAACCACAGGTGGACAACCCTGATCTGTCACCACTAATACAGTTGTTGCCCGATGTTATTACGTTAAACGTATCGACACTATTGTTTCGTGAGCGGCCATTTTATTTAGGTCAATTGATGCCCCAAAACAAAACTAGCATGTTCAAATATCAAGGTTCAATCACATTTCCACCATGCCATCAATCTGTTACCTGGATCATATTTGATGAACCGTTGCCAATTAGCCGGGCACAGGTATGTTATATACATATATCTGCTCTATTATTAAAAAAAACATGTACTTTTCCTTAAATATTTTTGTTAAAACTTTTAAAATTTTAATCTTTTATATTATAATTACTATTAATACAAATCCTTAATTACTTAATAGTTAGATATGTTTCGTATTATAAATTGGGAGCCAATTGAAAATGCAACCAAAATACTTGATAATAGGCGACCCATACAACCGCTAAATGATCGTACAGTCTATACAACTATTAATAAACATTTTATAAGTAATCTAGTAATTATTAAAAAAAATAATAATAATTTATTTTAAACATTATTTAAAATAATTTATTAATTTTCTTATTTTCTAATTTTGTTAGATAAAAGTATTACTACTACTACTACTAATAATAATAATAAATCTAATTATTTCAATAACAATGAAAAATGTCAAAAATGGTATCAATGCGGACATGGAGTCTGCTGTAGACATGAGGACTACTGTCTGGCCGATAGTGACGGTAGTAATAAACGGTGCGAAAAGCGGTGTTAAAATTTTTTATGAGTTTTTTATTTAAAAAATTTAAAAAAAAATATTTTCAGTATTTTTTTCATATAATAAATAAAATAATAATTTAGTGCAATGATTAATTTTTTTTGTTTTGTTTTTTGCTTACTTTATTTTAAATATTATATATATATTGAACTGTACTATAACTATTGAAAAGTTAATAAAAAATTATATATACTTTTTAATTTTTTTAAAAAAATAATAGTTCTCATCTTAAATATAATTATTTTTTAAATGTAAAAATAATATTTTTTATTATTGATTTTATTTTTATATGTTAATAATTAAACTTATTTTATTTTTTAATAAATATTTTTGCATGTTGTTAAGGAATTTTTATCCTATTTTTTAAATATTTTTTATATAATTATTATTATTTAGTGTACTTGTAATTAGTATTGTATTATAATATAATAAGTTTTTTTTAAAAATAGTTTTAAAAAAGTTTTTTTTATAAATATTTACATATAGCAAAACAAACTTTGAAATATTGCTTATAATATCAAAAAAAAATTAAATACTAAATAATTAATAAAATGTTTCTACATATTTGATTACTTGAGTTATTTTTTTATTGTATGTAATATTATATTAATTTTTTTAAAAAAAATATTACGAAACTATTATCAATAATAAAACAAAAACTAAATTCCAACTAAAAATTAAAATTAATTACAATATTGAGATATTTTTAAAAAAAATATTAATTGTTTTTTACATAAATAAATTAATACTATTTTAATAAATATTAATTTACTAATAATAATAATAAGAAATTTTTTTTTATTGTTAACTGTAATATTTAAAATTATTCAGTAGAAAAAATTCAGTAAAATATTTATTTTTAAATATGCTTTAATAGAATTTCGACATTATTTCCATATATTTTAATATCATTATTGATTTTAGTAATTAGTATAATATTTATTATTATTATTATTATTATTTTATTTTTTTTAATACTAATTATTTAATAAAAGAAAAATTATTTCTAATTTAAAAAAAATAATAAAATTATAAAATTTTTATTTATTAATTATAAATTAATTCAAACTAATATAAGTACTTAAAAATTTTAAAAAAAACTATATAACATTTATTATAAAACAAAAGTTTTGTATATAAATAGAAAGAGAGAGAGAGAGAGAGAGAATAATAAATAGCAATTTAATTATTTAATTTTAATAGATATTTTTAATATATATATATAACTTAATATAATATAATTTATTTTTTAGGTTAACAATTGATAATAATAATAATAATAAAAATATAAAAAACAATGTCTACTGATAAACAATTAACTGATGGTTTACGCAAATTTCAGCAAATGTTTGATCCCATACTCGACAAAGTTATGGCCAACTCGTTGGAGTCGGACATCAATGGTTTGCGCGAGACTTTGAATCAAATGTACGACTATATTGTCCGTCGGCGAGAGTTTGACGATTTTGCCGAAATACTTATACAGTCGTACAGTGTACTGAGTGGCCACAAACCGGGTGACCATGAATTTGATAACCGTGTCTATGCCTTGGCCTGGGCTGTAGCACTGGCAATGGTTCATTTTGATTTACTGGATGACGTTATGGACCGATCGGATACACGCGATGGTCAGCCGTGTTGGCATACATTGGTAATTGAAATAATCAATAATAATAATAATTGTAAAATTATATATATATATATATATATATATATATATATATATATATAATGTACTATACATGCATATTATACACAGACACACATAGTTAATGTTTTTTTAGTTGTTGTTTTGTTATATAATTGTATGATTTTTTTTAGCCAACAGTGGGTATGTCGGCCCTAAACGATAGTACTATAGTATTGTCGGCCACCTATAAGATTTTGAAACTATATTTTAGTGATCATAAAAATTATATGCAAATTGTTCACTGCATTCAAGAGGTTAAGTATTCTTTTAAAATTAATATCATTTATATAAATTTTTCTATATATATATAATAATAATAATAATTTTAAATTTTATTATCTTAAACAACTACTATTAGTGTATTGAAAAGACAGCCTACGGCCAATTGTTGGACATGCAGTTTACCCGTTCCCAAAATGACCATGTTGATCTTAATACCTATACCTATGATAATTATAAGCTGATTAACAAATATAAAAATGCCTACTTTGCTACCGGTGCATTTTTGTTGGGTTAGTGGCAATCCTATATATATATATAAATTAAAGATAAATAAATATAAGTCAATCAACTGTCTATTATTATTTTTCATATTATATTTGTGATTAAATTAAATTAAAAATAATTTAATTATTATTTGTTTGTTTTCTGTATAATACTAATAATTTTTTTTAGGTATGTATACATCGGGTCAGTCATCGTACGATCATTTGGACAAAATTCAGGACATGTTGACCACATTAGGCATTTTGGTCGGTGTTATCGATGATGTGGAAGATTTGCTAACCGATGGCACCGATATTGTTGAGGGCAAGTGCACCTGGCTTTACGTTAGGGCATTACAGTTGGCCGATAATAGTCAAAATTCATTACTATTGGCTAACTATGGACTCAAGGATCCCAGTGCTGTCCAACTGATCAAACAATTGTACGACCAGTTGAATGTCAAAACCGAGGCCAAGGAGTTTGTCAAAAGCGAGACCCGACTATTGAAACAAAAATGTTTGGACATCAGTACTGGCAATGCTATTCTCAATCAATTGCTTAACAAATTCATTGCAATCTATGAGAAATATTTTAAAACTATTTAGATTTTGTTTAAAAAAATAATAATTTTATTATTTTCTAATATATATATCGATAAATACTAATTCAAATTAATAGTTAGATTTACATTATAAAAATATTAATTAGTAGATTATGGTTAAAAATAATTATAATTATAATAATCAAGAAATTAATTTTTGTGTTTAATCAATATTTTATAAAAGCTATATTTATTTTTATGAATAAAAACTAATAAAGTTAAAAAATATTATGTATATTCAATAAAAAATAAAATAAGATTATTTAGATTTTTTAAAAAAATTGTGTGTATGTGTGTGTATGTGTGTGTATGTGTGTGTATGTGTGTGTATGTGTGTGTATGTGTGTGTATGTGTGTGTATGTGTGTGTATGTGTGTGTATGTGTGTGTATGTGTGTGTATGTGTGTGTATGTGTGTGTATGTGTGTGTATGTGTGTGTATGTGTGTGTATTTGTGTGTATGTGTGTGTATGTGTGTGTATGTGTGTGTATGTGTGTGTATGTGTGTGTATGTGTGTGTATGTGTGTGTATGTGTGTGTATGTGTGTGTATGTGTGTGTATGTGTGTGTATGTGTGTGTATGTGTGTGTATGTGTGTGTATGTGTGTGTATGTGTGTGTATGTGTGTGTATGTGTGTGTATGTGTGTGTATGTGTGTGTATGTGTGTGTATGTGTGTGTATGTGTGTGTATGTGTGTGTGTGTGTGTGTGTGTATGTGTGTGTATGTGTGTGTGTGTGTGTGTGTGTATGTGTGTGTATGTGTGTGTATGTGTGTGTATGTGTGTGTATGTGTGTGTATGTGTGTGTATGTGTGTGTATGTGTGTGTATGTGTGTGTATGTGTGTGTATGTGTGTGTATGTGTGTGTATGTGTGTGTATGTGTGTGTATGTGTGTGTATGTGTGTGTATGTGTGTGTATGTGTGTGTATGTGTGTGTATGTGTGTGTATGTGTGTGTATGTGTGTGTATGTGTGTGTATGTGTGTGTATGTGTGTGTATGTGTGTGTATGTGTGTGTATGTGTGTCTATATGTATGTGAAATGATATTCAGTAATAATTCATTTTAATATTCATTAGAAAAATATTTTTGAAAAATTTATACTAGCAATGACTAGATAATAATTAATTATTTTTTTTTAAAATCTAAAAAACTTACTAAATAAAAATTCTAAAAAATATTATTATATTTTATATATATATTTCTTACTCTAAAATAAAATAAATAACAAAAATAAAATGGAAATAACAGATATTTATGATAATATATTTAAAAAAGATGTTTCCAGAATATTTCCGGCCAACTATCTGAGTCAGGCCAACAAACTAGAGCACCGGCCTAACCATCGGTTTCTCATATCGTATAACAGATGCGGTAGCAATTGGTTCATATATATTGTCCAATTGATACTGTCTTCAGCTGAAAATACCGATCCGGTTGACGATGAAAACTATATTATCGAAAGTGTTGGCTTACGGGCACTGGATATGACCAGAAAAATGATGTCAAAAACAACAAGCAATAGTAGTAGTAATGTCAATACTAACGGTGCTATAGTCAACGATACCATGACTGTTGATAATGATGATGAAGAGGACATTGTTTTCTTGAAAACCGACTACACTTGCGATAACTTTCCGCTGAACTCAATGGCCAGATATATGCTATTAATGCGTAATCCGAAAGATGTTTATCATGCCTTCTATCAGGCAATCGATAATCTGATCCGATCGGAGCACAGGGGTCTGAAAATTGGTGAAATCAAACAATATGACAAACTATTAGACTATTGGCTATCGGATAGTATACCCGATTGTTATAACTATTTTACGTATGTTAAACAATATTGGCTTCGGTATAGACGTGAGCCTAACTTTCAGTTCATACTCTACGAAGATATGAAACTTGAACCGCGAAAAGCTATCGAAACTATAGCCATGTTTTTAGGCGATAACTATGTTAGACGACTGTCCCGTGTGATGGACTCCGGTACTGGCGAAACACTGCTCGATCGTATTGAACGACTGTCTACTATGGATACAATGAAACCCATGTTTGACAAACAGGACAGTTGGCGATTGAGAAAGGGTTTGATCGGCAACTGGAGGTCGCACTTGACTAGAGAGCAAAGCGATGCTATCGATCGGAAAGCTGCCGACAAATGGACGGGAACTGGACTCGAGTTGCTGTGGGAACGGGAATTAAAATGGGAATAATAATAATTATTATTATTAATAACATTTTGTTTTGAATATATATATATATATATTAATAATTAGTATTAGTGTGTTATTAGTACCAAAATATATTAACTAATAATAGACTAGTAATAAAATTAATTTTGAAATAATGAGTTTTTTTTAAAAAATACAATATTATTATTATAGCATTTATATATCATTTATATACTGTTATTATATAAGTTATACAGTATTATATAATGTAATTTTTAGTAATTATTTTTGTATTTATTTATTGTATAATTTTATACAAATATAATAACTCTAAATAATAAATTTTAAGTTTTTTTTATTTTAAAAAAGATTGTTACTAATTTTTTTTATTAACTTAAATATCATAATATTTATTTCTCATTTACTGTATATGCATTATTTTTTTATGTATTAATTATTTTAAAGTAAAATTATTTTTTACAAAATGATGATTTTTAATTTTTATAATAATATTATTTAAATTTTATTTTTTAATGCATCATATTTTGTTTGAAACTTTAATTTAAAATATTTTTTTTCATTATTTATTTTCATTATACTATTTGATATTAGTAACAATAATAATATTTAAATCTAAATTTAATATATATATATTTATTGTTTTTATTAACACTACATAAATAATTAATTTAAAAAAATAATATTCACAATATTTATTTTTAAAAAAAAATAATATTCACAATAATTGATTTTGATTTAAGTAATAACAATGTTTGATAAACTGTTTGATAATATATGTGACACAAAATTATGGGTAATATATAATATTATTAATTAATATATAGTATTTATATTAATAATCTAATATTTAATTAAACTTTAATTATAACATACTATCATAGGATATACAGTAATATTATTATTATGCTGTATTTAATTGTTGTTGTTATTTTTTTCAAAAAAGGACCCGGAGCTTATGTGGAACACTACTACACCGCAACTGAGCACATGTATGGCCGACACTATATGCGTATGGCTGCCGGCCGCTTGTCTAACAATATGTTTGAACAACATATTTATCGATATATATCGATCAGTGAGACCATCAATTTCCGACAACTACTACAATTGTACACGACTGGCCATTAGCTGCTTGTTAACTATGGTAACGGTAGTCAATCTATCATTTAGTCTGTACAGGCGTTACTACGATGATCATCATCAATGGCCATACAGTAGCCAAACAACCAGTAGTGCCTACATTATCCGGACAGTCATAGAAATGTCTACACGACTAACACTGACACTTGTAGTCTATTTGTATCGGCTGTACGGTATACACAACTGTAGCGGTTGTCTATGGTTTTATCTGTTAGCCGATACAGTGGCCGGCGGTCTAGCCGTTTGGGCATATGTTAGGACACCGGCAACTGTTGAACTAATATTTATTTCTATTGAATTTTCATTGACTATACTATTGCTTTTATTTTGTTCATTTGCCGACCGTTTGCCGACACAAACAACAACAACACCTCCAGCCAACTGTCCAAAAGACAGGGCATCGTTTCCATCGTTACTGACATACAGTTGGGTCGACCGTCTACTGTGGACTGGCTGGCGAAAGCCGCTAACATTGGCCGATCTTTGGCCGCTAAGATCCGACGACAGTGTAGACAAATTGATGGCCAACTTTTGTAGACATTTTAAAACTGGTGGACAGACAACAACAGTAACAACTGGATGGTTGTCCACTAAACTATCAAAATGGACAAACTTGGGCTACATTTATCGTAAATGGTTTAAAACAGATACCGTAGAGTTAGTTAACAATATTGATGATGAAGACGACGACAACGAGTCAACTGACCCACAGTTAACACCACCGCCACTACAACTACCAAAACCAGCGCCCAGTAATGTCTTTACAGCTATTGTTAAGACTTTTTGGTTAACTTATTTGAGGCCTACACTGGTCTATGTAGTACTGGATGCGGCAGTCATTGTCAGCGCATACCTACTTAAGTAAATATTTTAAATAGCTATATATATAGCATTAAAATATTATTTTAATAGATTTTTGATTGAGTTTACCACCAATGATGAGCCCCAATGGCACGGGTATGTCTACGCCACTACCATTCGACCACTCAATATGATCGTTGCATTTGCTTTTGCAAAAAATATACAAAAAATGCAAGTTTTAGGTATTGTATAATATATTTTTTTTTCTCACAAATTTATTTATATGTAATAATAATATTATTATTATTTTTGTTTCAATAAATTTATTTTATTATTATTATTATTATTATTTAGGACAGCGTATAAAAACATTGCTAACGGCGCTCGTCTATCGCAAGGCACTGGTGTTAAGTAATAGCGCCAAAAATCGGGAGTCAAATATTGGATAGATAGTCAATCTTATGGCCGTTGATTGTCATCGATTTATTGGTTAGTTAATTGAATGAAAAATAAAATAATACTAAAACTTATATATTGTATGTATGTATGTGTTTGGGTGGGTAGGTGTGACTGTATGTGTATATAGATTTGTGTAGATATATATATATATATATATATATATATATATAGAGTATTATAAAACATTTATCATTTATATATATATATATATATTAGGATTGTTGCCGAAAATAAATTTTCTCTGGACATCAATGGGACAGATAGTTTTGGCACTGTATCTGCTATACAATGAATTAGGTGTTTCAACGTTTGCCGGACTGGTCGTTATGCTAGCGATTATGTTAGTCAATGGTTTTGTAGCAAAAATCAATGACAATATTATTAGAAAACAAATGTCGCTCAAAGATCAAAGACAATTGATTAGCAATGATGTGTTCAATGGTATCAAAGTTTTAAAAGTAATTGTTTTTTTTAAATTTTTTTATTTAATAATTTAATTAATTGTATCATTAATACAGTTATACGGTTGGGAAAAGGCTTTCGTCGATAAGATATTGCAAATACGTAGCAAAGAGTTAAGGTTTTTAAGGACAGCCGGCTTCTGGACTACAATAACAGTGCTGACATCAAACTGTTTGCCATTTATGGTAGCTTTGGCCACATTTGGCACCTATTTGGCCATCGGTTCCGAGCCGTTGGACGCCCAAAAAGTGTTTGTTTCGTTGACATTGTTGGCCAATGTCGGGGCGCCACTAATGCAAATGCCCGACACTATCAACGAAATAATACTCGTAAATATATATCTCAATATAATTATATTAATAGTACTTAAAAAAATGATAAAACAAATTGTAACTTAAAATTATTAATAGCTAATAGTTTCGACTAAACGTTTGAACAAATTTCTGGACTTACCTGAAATCACTAATTATGTAACTCATGATAATGAACTACCAGTGCTTCGTATTGAAAATGGTTGTTTTACATGGAATAGCGGACCAGTAGTTAATAATCATAAAAATGTTATTTTGAAAGACATTAATCTAAAAATCATGGACAGTCAGTTTGTGGCAGTCATTGGTACAGTTGGATCGGCAAAAAGTTCACTACTGGCGGCACTGTTAGGCGAAATGGACAGACTGTCCGGTAGGGTTAACATCAGACACGGTGTTAGTGTAGCCTATGTTCCCCAACAGCCCTGGATTATGAATATGACACTCAAAGATAATATATTGTTTGGTAAAGACATCAATGAAGATATGTATAAAATGGTAATCAATTCGTGTGCCTTAAGCGATGATCTGAGACAACTGTCCGCCGGAGACGAGACAGAGATCGGCGAAAAAGGTATTAATCTGAGCGGAGGTCAGAAACAAAGGGTTAGTTTAGCCCGAGCTGTCTATAGTGAAGCCGATCTCTATCTACTCGATGACCCACTTTCGGCAGGTATTTAAAAAATATATTTCAAATACTGTATTATATTTTTTTTGAAAAACTGTTTTTTCAAAAATAAAAAAAATGATAATAAACTAGTGGACAGTCATGTGGGACAACATATTATGCGTGAAGTGTTTCACTCGGAAACCGGTTTATTGCGAAATAAGACCCGAATTATGGTTACAAATCAATTGTTTGTATTGCCATTCGTTGATCAGATAGTTGTCCTAAAAAATGGTAAAATACAGTCAATCGGTTCCTACGATCAGCTAATGAATGAAAATAAGGAATTCAGACAAATTTTCAGACAATATTCAGGCACTGATAATATGGATAATAAGTTTATTAATAATAATAATACTAATAATACTAATGACAATAAAAACATTATAACTGTATTGTCATCGGATGAGGTCAATGATAATCGGCTGATTGATGAGGAAAATGTCGAAACCGGACAAATCAAGCTTAAGGTTTGTATTAATTACTTTTTTTATATATACAAATCCATACCAAACCCTATACAAACATCATACAAACCCCTTACAAACCCCATACACACCCACTAATCCACACAAACTTACATACAATATCATATAATATATATGATACTCAAACATACATATTATTACATACATTGTATTAATATAAACAGATATAAATTATTTTTTATCTTAAAAATAGCTACTAATATACTCATAATTTACATCATATGATAGCAACAACAAAAATATTATAGCAACTAAAAATGTAGTCTACATTTTAAAATAGTTTAAAATATTATAGTTTTTTTATTACTTCAATACTAACTATATATTGATATAATATTAGATTTAGTAAATATTTTTTTTACATTAAATTCAAATATTACATCAAAAAAAAATTAATTAAATTACAAAATACTAAATATGACACCAAAAAAAATTATCATTTTATTTGATAAAGATATTAATATATAACATTTTTTTATTGATTTTTTATTGTTATTACAAACAAACAAAAAATTATAGATATATCTGAAATACATAAAATCAATGTCCATTGTCTGGACAATTATGCTAACAATTAGCTATGTATTGGCCATCGGTAGCGAATCGGCGGCCACTTTCTGGCTAAGCTTATGGAGTGACGATCCGGATAGAGGTTCAAAAAAATCATACTATTTAGTAGGCTATGCACTGATGGGTTCGTCAAAAATCCTATTTCTGGGCCTGTCGTGGATCGGTATTATCAGTGTCGGTGTATTGGCAGCCAAACGACTATACGAAACACTACTATCATCGATAGTACAGTCGCCGATGAGCTTCTTCGATACGACACCATTGGGTCGTATAGTTAACCGTTTTAGCAAAGATATCGACATTTTGGACACTCAGATGTCGTCGACATTAAAGTAATTAAAAAAAATGTTTTCAAATCTAATTTTTATTTAATTTATTAAAAAATAAAAATATTAGCTAAAAAATAAAGATTTTTATTAAATTTATTGTAAGTTTTAAATATATATACAGTATACATATATATATATATATACTAATTATATAAACTATATATAAACTATATATAAACCATATATATATATAGTTTATATAAAAGTTTTAGTATTTCTATCAAAACTGTTTTTATTTTTTAAAAAGTTTTTTTGTTGTTTTATTTTTTAATTGTATTAATATTTCAATTTATTTTTTTTATATAAAAAACTTAATCATTAATTTTTTCTCTCACTGTTTATTCAAATATTTAGTTTATGGTTAAACTGTTTGCTAACAATTTTAAACACAGTTATCGTTATTAGTCTACAAACACCGTTATCATTGCCAGCAATAATACTTTTAGTTGTCGTCTATATATATTTTCAAGTAAATATTATAATAATTAAAAATAATAATTAAAATATTTTAGACAAAAATTAATTAAATATTAAATTATGTATTATTATTTAATATCAATAGAAATTTTATGTAAAAACTTCACGACAGTTAAAACGGTTTGTTTTTTTTTTGCAATTTACAAACAATTTGCTATTTGTTTGAATTTTATTAAAAATGTTTATTTTTATTTATTATTATTTTTTTTGAATCAAATATTAATATTATTATTATTATTAGCTTAGAGTTGACCACCCGATCGCCAATTTATATACATTTTAGCGAAACACTATCTGGTGTGTCGACAATACGGGCTTATGGATGTCAGGAGAGGTTTATCAGGGAATCGGATCGTAGAATCGAAATCAATCAACAGTGTCTGTATCCGAGTGCCGGTGCATTGGGTTGGGTATTGTTAAGACTAGAATTATTGTCGAATATGATTACCTATTCGGCCGCCCTGTTTGCCGTACTGGCCAAAGGTCGGATCAGTGCCGGTTCGGTTGGCCTATCGCTTAACTATGCGGTCAATATTTCCGGTTCGATGGACGACTTTGTCCGCTTGTCGGCCGTAATGGAAAACAATATGGTTTCGGTTGAACGAGTGGACGAATATTCTGAACTGAAACCCGAAACCGATTGGCACTCAACTAACCGCAGAGTTGTATCAGATAACTGGCCGATAATGGGTTGTATAGAGTTTGTCGACTATAGTACCCGATATCGTCAGGGATTGGATTTAGTACTCAAACAGATTAACATCAAAATCAATGCCAAAGAAAAAGTATTGTTAATTATAAATTTTTTTTTTAATTTTATACTGTATTTTATACTGTATTTTATACTTTTAAGAAATATAATTTTAGTTATTATTAATAATAATATTATTTTAATTTCTAAAACAAACAAAAATTTTATTTATAAAAAAAGATCGGAATCGTTGGCCGCACCGGTTCGGGAAAGTCGTCACTGAGTTTAGGATTATTTCGTATAATAGAGTCAGTCGGCGGCAAAATAGTGATCGACGGCATAGATATCAGTGAACTGGCACTACATGTATGTACTGTATTAATATTACTATTATATTATAATATATTAATATTATAAGTATTAATATACATGTAAGTATGTTTACAGTATATTTAAATATTACTATTTAATTAGGATCTGCGCTCAATTAGGATCTGTGGACAGCCTTAGAGCGATCACATCTCAAACATTATATTTTGTCCAACGAATCGGGACTCGACTTTCCAGTCAATGAGGGCGGAGATAATCTCAGTGTAGGTCAGAGACAACTTATATGTCTGGCCCGAGCTTTACTAAGACACACAACTGTCCTCATACTCGATGAGGCAACGGCTGCCATTGATGTCGAAACCGATGCACTCATACAGACAACTATTAGGTCAGAGTTTGCCAACTGTACTGTACTAACCATTGCTCACAGACTAAACACTATACTTGATTCCGATCGTGTGTTAGTCCTATCCGATGGACGGGTAGTTGAGTTCGATTCGCCCATAATATTGCTTTCAGATAGTAATTCATTATTTTATTTATTAGCAAAAAATGCTGGTATTGTTTGAATTTTAATTATCATAATTTTTTTTTTGTTAACTAAAAAAAAGTTTACATCATTTATATTACATTACATATTTGAAAATTAAATAATACTTTTATATTTATATTTCATAAAAATTTTGCTTAATAAAATACTAATTATTTGATTTTAATTTTGAGTTAAACAATAATTTATTTTAATTTTCAACTTTTAATTATCTATTATAATTTTCTTTCTAATTTATAGTTTATATAATAATAATGTTATAAAATATCTATAATTTAAAAACTAAAAAATTATTTATTAGTACTACTATTTTTAACATATATTCATTAATTTTTTTAGTATATATGTATTTAAGTCGTATTGAATAAAAAATATTTTTTTTAATAATTTATATTTGCTATTAGGAATACACTAAATAAAAACATATCAAATTAATTATAATTTTTTTTAAATTTTTATTTAAAAAAATCTCAAAAAATTTTTAGTCATAATAGTAATTATTATTGATTACGATATTAATTATTAATGTAAATCACTGTACAATATATTAACAAATATTAATGCATTTTTTCAATAACAAAAAATTTATTATTTATTAATAATAAACAATTTTTATTAATTACAATACACATTTTTTCCCCACTAAGATATTTAAATATTTATAAGTAATAAATAATAATTGATTAATAAGTTATAGTGTATGACTTAAAAATATTTGAAAAATAAATTTTTATTATTTAATATTATATAGTATATATACAAGTATATAAATATTTACAATTTTTATTTAGTATATTAGGTCATTGTTTATATGTTAAGTAAAGTTTATGATAAGATATCAATATTATATATATATATATTTATTTATATTTTCAATCAATAATTAATAATTAAAATTGTTTATTATTATTATTATTAATACTAATATTCTTAGTATATTATATAGTTTTAGTATAAATTTGTAATAATTAAAAAAAAAATATATAAATATTATGCCTAAAAATAATAATAATAATAATAAAGTTAAAGATGACAACAATAAGATTAATATTAACAACACCGACAACAACAACAACGTGTGGTCAACAAAACATAAAATATTTGTCACATTTGCCATATATATAAGCTTTTTATTTTATGTAAGAAAATATAATTATTATATATTTCTATATATATATATATATATATATATATCTATTTTATTTATTATTTTTTAAATATATATATATATAATAACATTTATAAGAGTAATTAAATTATTATATATTATTTATTTATTATTTAAAAAAGCTAATTCAAAGTGGACTGTTTGGTCCATCGATGCTTGATTTGCAATTGATATACCGGTGCACATTTGAACAGATATCCTATCTAAATACCATATGGGGTATAACCTATTTGATCGGTGCATTAGGTATATATCTATAATTATTATTATTATTAAACTCAGGGTTAAGTAAGGGGGGGGGTAGGGGGGGGTAAGGCCAAAATACCCCCCCTAAGCTCGAGAAATTGGGATTTTACCCCCCCAGACTTTTTGACCAAATTGGAAAAATTGTAGCTTAAAAACGACGAGAAATGACCCCCCCCCTAAAATTTCGGCGCCGAAGGCGCCGAAAATTTTTTTGAGATTTATAAAAATTTTAATTTTAGTTGATACTATTTTATTTAGTGTTTTTATGTTTTTAATATTTATAAGAATCTAATTATTGATTAAAAATAGTTAAAATAACGTTAAAACTCATCCAAAAATAACATTATTTTAATTAAAATAATCTAAAAAATTAAAAATTACCTATTTGTTGAAAAGAGTAATCATATTACAATTTAAATATAAGTTTAAGATAGTTTAGGAAGTTAATAAAACAATAAATACTTATATTATAAGTTTTTTATTAATAATTTTTAAATTTAAATTTAAAAATATTTTCAATTTTAAACTTAATATAACTAAAACTTTAACGAAAATTGAGTTAAATAAGTAGTATTCAGTCAGTATTTGTATAAAAAACATTTTAAAAATATATAATAAACTATAAACATTAAGTATTATTTAAAAAATTAATTGTTAAAAGTTAAAAATTATTAAAATACAAAAAATAACTCATTGTGTATCATAAATGCTTTTATCAACTATTTTTAAATCAAAAATACATTATTTTACTTTTTTGTAAAAATTTTAGTTTTTATTAATTTTTTAATTTTTTTTCAAAAAATATTTATTTTTTGTTAAAATTTAAGTTTTTTATTAATTTTTAATTTTTTAATATTTTTGGAAATTTTACCTATTTTCCTGGGAACTTATACGGGAACTTATGGGAATTTTCCTTAATTAACATGGGAATATTCGGGAATTTAAGGGAATATTAGGGAATTTTCTCTGGACCCCCCCCCTTGATTTTGGATTTTTGAAAAAATTGCCGTTTAAAAATGCAATAAAAATCTTACCCCACCCAATACCCCCCCCAAGATTTTTCGAGAATTTTGCAAATTTTACCCCGGTCTACCCCCCCTAAAATCCAAAACCTTGCTTAACCCTGTATTAAACTATATATGATTTTTTTTGTGTATATACTGTTTATTTATATGTATGCTAATAGTTGTGGCCGTTTTTAACCGATTCGACAAATATATAGTTTATATGTCGTGTCTGATAGTAATCGGCCTGACATCGGTATCGTTTGCTAGTCTCAAATATCTGGTACTTATATACCTGGCCTACGGTATCAATGGTTTTGTCAGTGGCATTATCGACAGTTTTATTAATGTATGGATAGTCGACATTTGGCAACAAAATTGCGGACCGTTTACTGTGGCACTGGATTTTGTCAATAGTTTGGCACAGATTATAGCCATACCAACAGCCAACACATTTCTATCATCATCATCATCAACAACAACGACAAACTACTACAACAACAACAATAACACTAGATTATTAACAAATGGTTCATATAATTCAAATAACACATTAGTAACATATATGGATAAAAAAGAGGAATGGGATGTAATATCTTCAAGCAGAATATGGATACCCTATCTGTTTGTAGGCATACTCAACATTATAACCGGTTTACTAATTGGTTGTCTAAGCTATTATCGGCGTTCAATACTGTTTGGTAATCATAAGATAAAAGATTTATCATTATCATCGACAACAGCCACTGATGACGACATCAACAACAATATCATAACCACAACAACGACAACAAACAACAACAACTGGTTTATCAATTATCTAATAAAAACCCGTCACTCGTTAGCCAAACAACTATATCCATCGCCAGTCGGCTGTGCGGTCATATTGATGGTATGTATGCAATTGGCGCTAGCAATGACCCAAGGATGGTGTTGGGGAGCCTATTGGACGCCATACGTACTGTTTAGTGGCAATGCCATCGATGATACTGATAATGTCAATCGATTAGTGATCAGCAAACAACTGGCCAACAATATACTGAATGTCAAACAGATTGCCATTACTATCAGCCGGTTTCTGTTCATACCGTTATCGGTATACATATCGCCAGTCTATCGTATTTACGGCGGTCTAGTACTGTTGATACTATCGGTTAGCCTGTTTGTCATCTACGGTAACACTTCCATGACTATACTATATCTGGGCAATGGCCTAATGGGTGCAGCTGTCGGTCCGATGCAGGCATCCTACTATCAGCTACTGAGAGGCAAACTACCGGTAACCAACATACTTGGTGCGGTCATAACGTTTTTGAACGGTCTATTTCAGGCCATATTTTCGGTAGTATTGGGTCACTATATTGACAATAATCCTATTATTTATATCTATTTGAGTATTATATTTCTAACGATAATTGCCGTATTGTTTATATTAAGCCATATGTTATTGAAATATATTATTAGTAAAAAATAGGTGGTTTGAAAAATATTTATATATATTAATTTTGATATATTAATAATATAGTAGCAATTTTAATTATTATTATTGAAATTGTTTATGTTTGATATTAATCAAGTAGTTTTATAAATTTGAATATATAATATTTAAAATAAGATTTAACATATAAATATTGAAATATTTAAAATATAATTTATTTTACTATAATATTAAATATATTTTTTTTAAAAATCTATGACTTTTTAAAAGTCAATAATACAAAATATAAGTAAAAAATAATTTAATTTATTTAAATTAAATTAAATAGTATTTAATAAAAATGATTAATACAACTTTATTTTATTATCTAATAATATTAATGAAAAAAAATATTGTAAAAATAATTGTTCAAATATAATAAAAACATGATTTTATAATTTTGTGTTAATACTTATAATTCCTATACATATATATATTAATATATAATGAAATTATTGATTCAAAAGTCATCACAAAATACACTACAATCGCTATTATGATAATAGATATAATTTTATAAGTTTATAGTGTATATACATATAAATAGCATAAATATATTATACTTGTATATACATGTGTTATACATGTATTAAAT